TAAACTATTTTTGGCCGTCTTCAGTAAACTTGAAATCCGAGGGATGCGCGGGTCGCACTTATTCCCGCCTGTCATACGCAAAAATCCCCCATTCGTGCGGAGCGCGGACGAACGCAAATTTATTTTTAGCTGGTCGCGGAAAATGCTGCAGTTGCAGCGGGAAATCTTTTTTGTGGCAGCACACACACACACCCGCGAACTCATGTGCAGTCATTGTGACAGGCGCAAGTCTGTGTCAGAAATGTTTCCTTTTTTCGACTGGCTCCGCTTCTATTTTTCACTCCCTCCGCTGGCAGTAAAATCGAAGAAATATAAACAAACTGAGGTGACCCGGCAGCTATATAGGATGGAATGGAAGGGGCCGCGGCGGATGGTGGCAGTCGTGACATGTGGCAGGAGATAAAGTACGATATGAAGTGAAGGGATTGTACACACCACCCCATCCCATGCCATCCCATGGCATTCCATTCCACTCCCGCTTCCATTCTCCCCTTACGGCGCGAGGGAGGCAGGTGGGGCAGGGAGATTGTCCGTGGCTGGAATGAGTCCTACAATCGGATTGCAATGCGAACTGTGAACCGCTCGCAGTTACCCATTCGCTAGCACTCGAATACCTCGTAAAGCATTGCAGAGGGTTTCATAGTTCTGCAATCGATTGACCTTTCACCTTACACCTTACCTTAGAAAGTACCAGAAATCGCATGTGTACTTCCTGCGATAAGCAACCTGAGCTAGGAACGCAACTTGCAGAAAGCCCATCAGATATCCCACTAGGAAGGCTTCCACGGAGGAGTTTCTGGCTGTTGCAAGGGCATGTAGGCTGTCCGCCTCGTTTCGCTGGCTGCTCTGTCAGGAGCAGCTGAAATCTCGCCCAGCGGGAAGCCACTGAATGACCCTGGGGCGCAGCGGGTGGAAGGTAGCGGGTTCACTTCGAGAAATGAAAGCTCTGCAGAAGGGCTGTCTCCCGACCCACGCGTGCGGCGATAATAGAATTTCATTTTCGGGCAGATGTCAGGATACAGCCCACAAAGGCTGCCAACTTGCCCCCGAACGCTGCAACCGCACGTGGCAGGAAAACATTCATGAGCAATTTATGCAGGGCTATAAAATACTGAAAGAGTTCACTCGCCGCCGCCGCCCCCTCGCAAGGATCCCCTTTCCTTCCTTTCGGCGCACAGTGTGTGGCATGTATGGGACGAATCGATAAAGTGACATAAATTATGCGAAACTCGCTCGCACATCCTCCAACCCAGCCCAGTTCCTATATTGGAGCCCATTGGGGCTTTGTCAGCCAGTGCAATATTTCTATGCCACCCCGCCCAGCTGAATATTGTTAGTTCTGGCCACCTTGCCAGCAGTTTCACGAATTTGCGCATTTGTATTTCATATTTGGCCAGCAGCCCCACCCCGCCGCTGTCCCATCATTTGGCTGGGTCCCCACTCATGGGCTCCCGCCTGTTGTTCTGTCTGTCCTACGAACAGTGCCTATAAACATTGATTAGCCATTAGGGGCAACAGCACTTCAAATTATATTGCGCATTCGTCATGTATGCCAGGACGGGGAACGCAGGACGGCGGGACGAGGACCAGGACCAGGACCAGGAGGAGCGACCAGCGCTGGACATGACTCAGCAGTGGTAGTGATAGTGGCGCAAAACGCGGAGCACAAGATTATCGGGCGTGAGGACGGGGACCAGGATAATGACGCATGTTCCGACATGACGCAATGCTCCACGCTCCTCCGCTGTGTGCCGCCCAAGTGAATGGCCAAGAAGTGGGGGCCAGCCCCCACCCAGGTGGGGCCTACAGTGGCTGTTATGAATTAAACAAATTTAACGCGTTGAGCGAATAGTTGGCGACTGCTTCGTTGACCTCATTTGAAAGGATGCTGCTTTAAAGCGGCTTTTCCCACCTCGTCTGCGCCCAGTTCCAATTAATTACGGCTCTTATCAGGATGTACATATCGCTGGGTGCGCAAAACATCAACAGCGTGTCCGGCGCGGGACGTGGTAATGGTGTGTGTGGAATGTTGGGTGGTCGATGGGCGATGGGCGATGGGCGATGGTCGATGTCCTTGTCCGTGTCCGTGTCTTTGTGCCTCGGCTCATCAAGCTCGCTTATCGGCACGAGGCAATCAGGCGCAGCATTGTTCTCGCTCCCTGGCTGCCCGCCCTCCCATTGGCACTCCGGCCTGACCCGATCCGCATCCTCGAGCTGTCACAACAAAGGATTAGATGCGATCAGCGGAGCAGCCGTCTATTTGCTGCGGCTCGTTTACTTTACTTTCGATTCGCCTTAATTGTTATTGCCACCGGTATCCCCTGGGTATTCCCGTGCCCACTAGTCGCCCGCTTGGTTGGCTGTCCTTCAGGCGCAGTTCATCATCACCCGACCCCACCTCCTGCACTTCTGTTGCCGCTTGAAGATTCATCTTCAGCTCGGGCTGCTCCTCCTCGCCGTCCACTTCACTCAATACGCAATTAATGGGCGCAAGTGTTTAATTTCTTTTTAATGTGTTTATTATTCATTTCCAAACATTTAGCCCCTTTTCGTCAGTGCCCCTCCAACAGTTGCACTTTCAGCCGCCCTCTTACCGAATCTGAACCAGAGTCTCGAGTCTGGAGGGTGGCGGTGGAACTACGGAACTGTGGGTTCCGGAAGGCCGGAGAAGAAGCGCATTCATTTGGCTATGCAAACTTTTTCAACGCGCTTTTCTGGCTTCAAGAGCCTGGCAACAACGAACGAGCGAACAACGTCAAGTGGCTTTTAGCTACATCAGAATCAACACAGCTCCTCCTCCTCCTCCTCCGGCTCCCTGCCACCCATCTACATGCAGAGTGGCTTTCTGGGGGGGCACAGAATTATGCAACTATATGCTGCAAGCTGAGGGAAGCGCGAGGGGAACGCAGCGAAAGCCACCGATGCGAGGCGGGGCGCCTATCAGCAATCATCCATAGGATGCGGAAGCGGCGTCAGGAGCAGGAACACATAGGTGTCGCCAGCGTGTCAGTGGGCGGAATGGGCTGTCGCCTCAGGGGCTCCAGAGGACGTGGCGATGGAGGACCTAGGACGCGAGACGCGGGACGCGGGACACAGGAAACAGGTGTCTGTCTGTCTGACACGACTCCCCATTCGATTACCTGGCTGTCGGGCGCTCAATCGCAGCGAGTGCACTTCGCAATGAGTCGAAATCGAAATAATCCACTGAATCCACCGAACCACTGGGCCCGCGGCTCCGTGATGAAGTGAGGTCGCCACTAACTAACTAAGGCAGATCACAGGGTTCGGAACTAGGAGCATCCCTAAGCTGGGGAAATTGCCCACGTCCTTGATTCACCTAACTGATGTTAGGTGCATGCATTGCGGAGCTCCTACCTAGGAGCCACTTGTGCTCCAAGGAAGGCAAGTGAGTGGCTGGCGGAGCTGGCCAAAAATTAAATATAAATAAATAAATAGGCACCGAGTCTGGCCCTGGCAGCGGGCAAATGGAAGTCTCACTCAAAGATATCAACGCACAAATAATAAATGAGCGCTGGCGATGAACGAGGGGCGAGGGCGAGGCTCAGTCGGAGGTTCTGACCTGGACTCGGATTAAGATTCGGGTTGGCACTCCGATTCGGATGCGGATTCGGATTCGGATTCGGTTACTGTTTCTGTAGCGCGTCTCCTCCGTCTGAGTGGCTTCATTCGCTCGATGATTGCTCAAGAGAGCAGGCCAACTGGTGTAAGGAGGAGGGTCCGTTCGCCCACATCCTTGCCATATACACTGTACACTATACACTATACACACACATATATATGTATATATGCTGGCGTCGCATATCCTGGGCGCTTCCTCATTATTTTTGTGCAATCGCTGTAGGCGCTTTTGACTGCCGTCTGCTGCTTTTCTCGGCTGCCTCCGCTGTATTCTTTGCTTTCCCTTTTGTTTGCCCACACAATGTCCTGATCCCGCCTGAATCTGGCTTTATATATAGTGGTCGTGTGCGGGCGGGTGAAAAAGTGTTGGGACTTGGCATTTTTTGCCTCGAGTTTACTTTTTTCCAGCCGCTTTTGTTGCTGCTACCAGCCATTTGTGCAAATTGCTGCAGTGAGCGGTGAAAGGCGGCAGGCGGCAGGCGGCGGGCGAAAGGGTAATATTGTTATATTTTTCTGGCTTAGGCTCAAGCCATTGCTGCCTCCGCGTCCTCCTTGCGGGCTGATGATCCGAAGCCATCTGCCATTCAATGATATTCCATACCGCGGAAAGTGCTTCATTTGCATCCAACGGCGGAGGCATAAAAATGAAAGTTAAGCACTCATTAAGGCATCGTTTGAATAAGTTATTCACGACAACGACGCCAGGGTCTTGGGGCTTCATTAAATTTCCAAGGGGCTTAGGGATAATTTACAATCTGTCAGATCTGCGAGGCATCTAGACGTGGCAGGCGAGTGGAAAGTTTGGGACTTCTCGGAGCCTCTTCAACCTGTCACGTAGGGCTTAAAGTCAGAGCTTCAAGGTGCCCCAGCAGTAATTTGATTCATTTTCCCGCACACACCTGCTCCTGCCCCTCGAGCTTTTTATGCCACACTGCATCCGCATAAACACAATTTTCCCACACACACAGCTAGGGGAAACTATTGAAAATCCGGTAAAGTGGTTGGAGCATGAAAATGATGGAAGGGCAGGGCCATTCGTTTGGGTTGGTACTTGCTCATACCTACTGCTGACTTAATTTGTTGACTAAATGACATAATATCAAAAGTCCAGTCCAGTCCAGTCCAGTCCAGTCCAGTTCACCGTGGCGTATGCGTAATGGACCCACCCGGCTGCTCATTTATCAAAACTGCTGATTGCCAACCATTCACAGACGCTGTGCATAATTACACAAAACTAATGTATGAGTGATTAATGGCCGCTGGGCAAACGGACCAGCTAACTATATGGTGTATATGGTGTGCAACCAGGACATAGCTACCACATCCCCACTAATCCTATCTACCACTTTGCTTCCTTGCAGGTTTCCTCTCCTGGGACGTTTCCGATTGTCACGTCGACTTGGAGGAGGAGCTCAATACAATAACACAGCATGCGCCCGAGGGCGAGGAGGCTCGTCACGGTAAGTCCAAGTGTCCAAGTCCAAGTGCTCCCTGGGAGCATTAGCTGGGCTAAGCCAACTGCAAGCAGCCCCAATTAGCGAATCCAATCCGGGCACTCGGAGATCATCGAATCCGCATCGCATCGCATCGCATCGGGCACAATGGCGATGTGGCAAATTACAAAACTTATTCCAGCGCATTACTAGGACAATTGTCTCCGCACAACAGCAAACCGGGCGGCGGGGGGAGAGGGCAGGGGCCCGGATAAACAACAATTGAATGCACAAAGCCGAAAGCTCGGCGTTTTCAGGCTTTGTTGTTTTGGCTTTTGTGATAAAGCCTGCCCCAGAGCAGCTGCCAAACGAGAGGCTGTATTTTCATTTGCCCAAGTGCAACAGCAGCAGCTTCACTGTCATCACCATCGTCATCATCGTCATCATCATCGACGGGAGCAACAATAAACGGCTGAAGGGGCTGTTGTCTTTGCGGATTAGGCTAAAACGATGTTGAAGCTCACTCAAGTGGCTGCCACTGCATCAACCATGTGCCGCTTCCGCGCTCCACGCGGCTCTACTTGCCCCTTTGTTGACTCGCACTGGAGATGATTGGGATTTTCTTCCGCCCGCCTCCTTTTAGTTCCCAAAAGCCGCCCTATTTGATACAAAGTCCCGCGGTCTGGAAACTCACAGATTGCGGCAATGCCTCGCACAAGCATTGAACTATGACCTTCTACCTTGAAGTTTTCCTGCTTTGGAGCAACTTGTTCCAAGACTTAGCCTATCTATTACAAAGTATCTATATCAAAGTAGTTCCCGTCCGATAGGTGTACAATGTGTTTCTATAGTTTTTGAAAAGGCAATACAAATTGCTTGGTTTCCAAAGTCCGCCTGGAGCGGACCAGCAGCGTGAAAAAACCCACCTTGGAGGACATTATTCCTCGGCGACAAAGAAACTAAAGTACGTTTGAAAGGACACGGACTTGGCAGTGATAAGGCGCGTTCTTCTTCTTAGCAGGCCTCTCGTTCGACGCGATGCCGATGCCGATGACGACGCCGAGGCGTTGTCCTTGAAGGACATGCTAAGTGCAACACCTGCGCTGAATGCCCTCCATTTAGCCATTGTCCGGATGGGGAAAAGTTGGCAGCGACAGCGGGCTTTCCATTTACCATTTTCCATTTCCATTTGCTCTCGCAATCGCATTTTGTTTGCCTTGCCTCCTCCAAACTACTCAAACAAAATTCTGAAGTGGTGCCGCCACAGAGCCGTCCAGAGCCCAATAATGATGCTGCAACAGCCATAAGCATAACCAGAGGGCAGCCGGGAGAGCTGGCAGAGCTGGCAGAGCTGGGAGAGCTGGTGGCCGGAGCACTTGAAACGCGATTCAGAATTCAGAATCCAGAATGCACAGAATGCACAGAATGCACAGAATGCACTCGCTTCGCCGGGCGCATTGTGCTCGTCCAAGGAAGAGGACGATGGTGTCCAAGTTGGCCACCTTCCTGCGTGGCTGCCTTCGAGCGCCAGTCCCTGCATCCCCCAACCAACCGAGCACCTTGTTTATGTACCCAGCTCCTGACTTCTGATGTCCCGACCCCGACTGACCCTCAGTCTTCATGCGGCTACCTAAATTTGCCGTTCCGAGTGGGACGGTAAAAGTTTGCTGACTTTTAAAGCGGAGCCCATCAGGAAAACGCTCCCCCGAGTTCCAGTACGGCCTGCTCTTCATACCGGCGATCCTCCCGCTCCCGCTCCTTACCCGTAGGCAGACGTAGTCGTACTCGTGCTTGGCCCAACCCGCTCTGCGGATTATCTGGGGATTTGGACACATTCTTATCGTGCCTGAGCCAAAACCCACATAAGCAATCAAGGGACGGGCTGATGAGATGTGGGGGCGTGCCACAATAGGACACCCAAGCCGTGTCCCGCCCAACCTAACCTGAAAAGCCATACAAATTCTTGAGATAAAACGCATGCAAAATTGATGGAAAGATAGGGTCCGTCCGTGCCGAGGATGTACGAGTGCGCACACAGCACACATGGAGCTGCTGCCTCTGGAAGGAAAGTGAGTGGGAGCCTACAAGGCCGTATTGACAATGGACAATGGGCAATGGCCAATGGGCAATGGGTAATGCTGTTGTTGTCCCGGAGAGGGAAGAGGGGTACGTATAGGGGCTTTATGAGGCAGACAGCCAGACTGACTAACTGACACGCCCACACGAAATTTCTTTTCTCCTCCGATTTGCATACGGAGTGGGACAGCTGGTGGGTGGTGGCTGGTGGTCTGGTCCAGCAGCAGCGATAAGCAAATTAACCACTGCGATGTGGGGCGAGTGGCAGCGAGAAGTGGCCGCCGTAGATAAAGGAGTGCTTGCTCCCTCCTCGGCTTCCGCCTTCCGGAATGCGGCCAACATGTTGACAGGACATCAATTAATATCAGCGAGGAGGAAGCGGCTGACGTCCGTCAGTGGGGGAGGCTCTTTGCGCCGCATCCTGTTAATGCGGATGTGGGGGGGCAGTGGAAACACATCGCTTGACGTTTACAACATGTTATTGGCTTTGTTCAACAGGAGCTGCTCCTCTGCTCCGCAGCTCCTCTGTAGGATGCATTTACGTAACCAGAGTAGATTCCAGCACACTATGTGCCCTGATTAATGATGCCAGCAATGCCGATGGCTCTGCCCCAGGCTTCATACCGATACACAGCTGCCACGAGCCACCAATCCTCCGCTCGAGGTGCAGCCGAAACCGCTAATTAAACTATCATCACCACAATTCCCAGGGATTAGTGCAGTGGACATTCATAAACATGGCCCTGCTGCAGGGCCAGGATAAGCACAGCCAGTTAAGGCGTTTCCCACTCGGGGGAGCTTAATGCAAGGCGTGGGGTGGCCAATTCCCGGCTACATACGATATGTATGTACATAATTCATCAGCTGGGGGATGACCTGGCGGGGCACGCCATCCACTGGCCATAGGTGGGCTACAGAACAGCCAAGTGGGGCTGCATTATTAATGTGGTTTTGCAGGCAACCATCGGGGCATGTTCCTGTCATTTGAAACTGGTTACCTTGATGTATGCATGCAAATTGTGAGCTGGAAGACCGAATAACCACTCTACAGACTGGCTTTGGACTGCAAGATTTCACCCATTTAATCCCAATGAGTTTGCTCATTGTTTCATTTTCCTGAGTTCTCTGCGTCTTTTTGGTGGGTGTCGGAAAGAGGAGGCCGCAAAGGTCATTGGAAACTTTTTTAACACGTGCGCATTGGTTTGACAGAAAACTTTTCCTACTGCGGCGGGTTCAAAAGTGGGTGTGGGCGGTGGGCAGAAGGAGAACAAGAAGAAGACGAGGGGCTGACCGGCGCCTGTAACTGTAATTACTTTGGAGCCAAACAAAAAGGCCAACAAAAAAAGCGCAACGAAATCATAAAACACAAAAAGTTTCCGGCTGCTGCTGTTATGCAAATTTTTTCCCATTTCTCCCTTTGTTTTGGAAAAAGTTCGGAACTCTGGCAACGACTAGTGCCCGAAACCGGTTGCAGCTATTAACGGATAATCTGCTGCCATGTTGCCACTTTGGCTCGAGGTGCGGATAGCATGCTGCCACTCGGTACTATTTGTCCAGTGGCAGACTGGCCACTTACTGCAGCTTGGTATTCAGGCCGCCTTTAGCGCCCCTTGAAGTGGACCCTGCCTGGCAAACCGATCTCCGCCGCCGATGTCCAACTTTCAAGTGGCCTCTTTCACGACACCACCATCTTTCTAGAAGGCGCAGTATTTGAACTGAAAGTTCTTCCGCAGCAGTAGATTAACCATTGCAGCAGTAATCAGTAGATTAACCACTGAATTGCAGCAGTAATCAGTAGATTAACCACTGAATTCGGTGTGGAGTCGGGCGAACGCTTGCAGAAAAGAGCGGAAAGATAGAAGATCAACCTAGTTGTAAGCTAGGAGTTCCAACGAGTGTGTCCGGGCATGGACGGGATCTGAGGTAGAGGGCGACCTGAGTTCGCCAAATTGCGTATACGCACGGAATGCCGAGTCACTGCGTCCTCATCTCGGTGCGTTGACTATAAGCACACAAAGTCGGCTTGGCTGGCGGGACAATCAGCTACATACATGGAGAGCAAGGGGATACACACGCCACGAGGCCAACAGTTGGAAGCGAAGCCATAGAAGCCAACCGACAGCCATCCACCGATGCTCTTGTCTTGTATTTTTTACGCGTACGTGGGCACGTTTGACCACCGCTGCTGCCGGGGATGGTGCACCCATCCATCCACTTATACGCCCACGTCCACCCTGCTTGTCACCAGTTGGCTTGTCAGCGACTATTTGGTGCGGAAAGTGCGTAAATAATTTACGCATATATGTCGGACGAGGGCGACCAAAAACCTCATCACAGCCCACATCTGCGCCGTCATCATCATCGTCATTGCCGTGGTGCGGGCAGGGAGGTGGCCAAGGTCGCCGGCAAGGTCGCTCCGACGTGCACGGATTAATTAAAGCATTAAAATTAAAGATTCATTAAATAATTTCTAGCCGTGGCATCTGCGCCTCGGGGGACGGTGCTCCGGCAGCAGTCGAGACAATAAAGCCTGACAATTCAAACCCACTTGATGCGCCGTGCGTGCTCGAGTCCATGTCCGTGCCTGGCAGCCCAGCCATCTGCTGCATCTCTGGCAGCACCTCTGACCGTTCGGTTATCCGTTCATTGGGGGCGTGGGGCACCATGCTCCACCTGAAACACTGCGGACGGAGTTACTGTCCTGCCAGAAGGAGGTCAGCTCACAAAAAGGGTTGAAGCAGTGTCATAGCTCAAAATCGGCTGATGGAACAACTTTTTGCGCGACTCTCTTTTCAGGCGAACGACTCATCCAGTATGCCAGCGAGAATCTGGTCACGGAGGTGCTCATCCACCCGCAGTACAATACGCTGATCCAGTGCATGCGAAACCTGCTCAGCAGTTTCACCCGCCACCGGCACATCATCCACGCCGGCTACACCTTCAGTGGCAATGGTTCCTGGATATTGCAGGTGAATATTGCCGTAACCCCTTTTCTGCCACCGGATGCTCATGCCCATCTCTCGGCAGGACGGAACCTTCTCGGTGGCGGACTTCTCTGAGGCCTTCCAGGAGCACGACGTACAAAGGGTGATTCGGGCCTATGCGGACACCATCACCATGAACATCCACTGCGCGGACGCGGGTCTGTGGCACACTTTGCCCGAGAAGGCCTTTGCGCGCCAGTGCCGGATACGGATCAATCCCGTGGACGTCCTGGACACGAGCAGCGAGTGTATCAATGGATTCATTGGCAAGACTGTGTGCACACTATTTCTGTTGCAGCACTCATCAAGGTCGTTTTTCTGCAGATTACCTCGCGCCCATGGTGATGCCGACCTCGCTGAGGGAGCTGCTTGAGACCTCGGACGTGGTGGGAAACATCCGCTTCACCCATCCAACGTTATATGTCTTCCCCGGCGGCCAGGGTGACGCGGCGCTCTTCGGCATCAACGGCTTTAATATGCTTGGTAGGCTTGGTACTATGTATGTAGAGCAAATGCAACCTAATCTCCTTTTTCCTGTTCTTTCCACGCAGTTGACGGCGGCTTCAACCGGAAGGCGTGCTTCTGGGACTTCGCCCGGCACCTGGACCGCCTGGACGCGGTGCTGATGACGCGCCTAAACAACAGCAACGTACAGGGTCTGGGTGCGGTCGTGTCGCGCAAGCGGGACGCGCACGTCTACCCCCAGATCGGGCACTTTTTCGGCAATGTACCTGACCGCAAGGGCCTGCCCAGCCCCGACGGCGATAAGGACCGCGATCCGCTGCTGATCGATCTATTCGAGCGTGGACACGGTATCGTTAGTGACCTGAAGGCGCTGGATCTAAAGCCGCAGGGCTGCTACCGCAACCAGGAGCCGGTCAACCTTTACCACAAGGTCGGCCACGGCACTCTGGACATGTATGTGATAAGCCCAGCGCGCGACTCCAAGGAAGTGAAGGAGTTTCTCCAGAAGTGGCATGCCGGCGACCAGCGGCTCTTTGCCGCTCGGGAGTCGCGCGACTTCAACTTCCCGCTGCAAAACTTGGTATCCATTTGCGCCCTGCTCGTTTGGCAACCAGCCAACCCGGACGACACCATCACTCGTATTCTCTTCCCGGGCAGCACACCCGATTTCAAGATCCAGGAGGGCCTAGAGAAGCTGAAGCATCTGGAGTTCATGAAACACTCCACATGCACAGCAAAGTCGATTGCCCCAGCCATTCAGACCGTGACCTCAACTCGCAAGAGCCTAAAATCGGCCATCGAAGCGACTCCAGCCCCGCCCAGCGCCAGCTACAAGTCCACAAAGTTTAGTCCGGTGGCCAGTGCCGCCCTAGCCGTCCAACATCCGCAGCAGCAGGATAACAAAGCGAAGGAGGCTGCGGCTGCGGCAGCTGCGGCGGCTGCTGCTGCAGCGGCTACCGCAGCTACCATTGCCCGCGCCAAAGCCGATTCCATGGACACGGATGCGGAACCGGAGCACGAGGCAGACCCTGAACCTGCGGACACTGGGGACGAGGCTGCTCCCACAGAGCAGGAGCCTGAGCCGGAGACTGAGCCCGAACCCGAACCCGAGCATGAACCCGAAGCCGAGCAGGACAAGGATGCTGGTGAGGAGAAGAAGGTGGAAGTGTTGATCATGAAGCCCCAGCAGGCAGCAGCTCCAGCAGTAGTCGCAGCATCTGGCAAAGATGCAGTAGATGCAACTCCTGCCGATGCGACGCCAACCGGCAAGCTGAGCAAAGCGTCAGCCAAGGGCAAGGCGGACAAGCCGCGTGCCGAGGTTAAGCCGGTGGTACGCTCCCGCATCGACACCAAGCCCCCCAAGTCCATGGACCGGAAACTGGCCAAACGGGATGAGAAAAAGAGCTCGCCCACAGCCACGCCGGCCGCCCGGGCACCTGTAGCCCGAGATGCCAAGCCTAAAGTGCTGAGCCGCCCGGCAACCAAGTCCAGTCCCAGCAGCACTCCTGCTAAGAGTGCCAAGGAGGCCAACAACCGGAAAGTGCTCGAGTCCAAGCAGCAGGCGGCTCGAGTGCAGGCCACCAGCACCGTCTCTAGGCGGGTTACAAGCACTGCCAGCGAAAGGCGTGTCCAACAGCAGACGGAAGCGAAGACAGCGGCGACTGGGGCCGCCCAAGCGACCCAGAGGAAACCAATCTCGAGAAGACCTCGCGGCGTTTCACCCTCGAAGCGGGCACCAGCACCCGGAAGTCCGGTGAAGCAAGCGAAGCCAAAGGCGGCTGACTTGAAAAAGGCACGTTTGGACAAGGGGGGCACCACCGACTCTAGTCTGGTGTCCACCCCCTCCGCAGACGAGGCCACGGCTGCCAAGAAACTGCAAGACCTAACCGCATCTCAGGAACTTGACGCAGAGAAGCAGCGTGAGTTGGACGACCTTAAGGAGGAGCAGGAGGTGGTACGGGAGATAGAAGCTGTGTTTAGTCGCGATGAAATGAAGCGACAGCAGCACCAACAGATCAAGGCCGAGCTCCGAGAAATGCCTGCCGAGGGAACTGGCGATGGCGAAGATGAGCCTGACGAAGAGGAGGAGTATCTGATCATCGAAAAGGAGGAAGTGGAGCAATATACCGAAGACTCGATCGTAGAACAGGAAAGCAGCATGACCAAGGAGGAGGAGATCCAGAAGCACCAGCGTGATTCGCAGGAATCAGAGAAGAAGCGCAAGAAGAGCGCCGAGGAGGAGATCGAGGCGGCCATTGCCAAGGTGGAAGCCGCTGAGCGTAAAGCGCGACTCGAGGGTGCCTCTGCGCGGCAGGATGAGTCGGAGCTGGACGTAGACCCGGAGCAAAGCAAGATAAAAGCCGAGGTGCAGGATATCATTGCCACTGCCAAGGATATTGCCAAGTCACGCACCGAGGAGCAGTTGGCCAAGCCCGTAGAGGAGGAGCTCTCGTCGCCAACTCCCGAAGAGAAGCTGAGCAAAAAGACATCGGATACAAAGGACGACCCAGTCGGAGCTCCAGTCGACGCTTTACCCGTAAATCTTCAAGAAAGCCTACCCGAAGAGAAGTTTTCGGCTACCATTGAGTCTGGGGCCACCACTGCTCCTACACTACCCGAGGATGAGCGCATTCCGCTGGATCAGATAAAGGAGGACCTCGTGATCGAAGAGAAATATGTGAAGGAGGAGACCAAGGAAGCGGAGGCTATCGTGGTGGCCACCGTACAGACTCTTCCCGAAGCAGCTCCTTCGGCAATCGAGGCCATCCTTGCCGCAACCACCAAGGATGCCCTTAAAGACGCCAATGCCGAGGTTCTAGGTGAGCTACCCGACTCTGGCGAACGGGTGCTGCCCATGAAGATGACATTTGAGGCGCAGCAGAACCTTCTGCGCGATGTCATTAAAACGCCTGATGAAGTTGCAGATCTACCCGTCCATGAGGAAGCCGATCTTGGGCTGTACGAGAAGGACACCCAGGACGCCGGCGCCAAAAGTATCTCCCACAAAGAGGAGTCCGCAAAGGAAGAAAAGGAGACCGACGACGAAAAGGAGAACAAGGTGGGAGAGATCGAGTTGGAGGATGAACCGAAAAAGGTGGACATCTCTCACGTGCTACTCAAAGAGTCAGTACAGGAAGTGGCCGAGAAAGTCGTGGTCACTGAAACTACAGTAGAGAAGAAGCAGGAGGAAAAGGTGACCATAGCAACCGAGAAGATTGTGGAGGCAACTATAGCCACGACGCAAGAATGCCAGGCAGATCTACTGGAGCACGAACAACTAGAATCAGGAATCATTACCGAAAAGGAGGCCAAGAAGTCGGCAAGCACTCCCGAGGAAAAAGAGACCAGCGACATTACATCCGATGATGAGCTTCCAGCCCAACTGGCGGAACCAACCACAGTGCCACCCAAATCAGCCAAAGAACGCGAAGACACCGGCTCCATTGACAGTCCCCCCACCATTGAGGAGGCCATTGAGGTGGAGGTGCAAGCCAAGCAGGAAGCCCAAAAACCAGAGCCAGCTCCGGAGGAGACCACAAAGGCCGAAAAGTCACCACTTGCCTCGAAGGAGGCCTCCCGGCCTGAATCTGCGGCAGAAAGCGTCAAGGAACACTCTGAGCAGCCGGAATCCAAGAAAGCCCCAGAGCCCTCCCGACCCGAATCTGAGGCAAAGGATACCAAGTCTCCCCTCGCCTCAAAAGAAGTTTCTCGACCGGAATCCGTTGCGGAAAGCGTCAAAGATGAAGCAGCAAAACCGGAGAGTCGACGAGAATCCGTTGCCGAAACTCACAAGGATGAAAGTTCTCTTGACAAAGCTCAGGAGCGGGAAAGCCGTCGCGAATCTCTTGCGGAGAGCATCAAGCCAGAAAGTACAAAAGATGAAAAGTCTGCCGCGGCCTCGAAGGAACCCTCCAGACCAGAATCTGTGGCAGAAAGCGTACACGTCGAGGCAGACAAGTCAAAGGAGCCGTCCCGCCGCGAATCTATCGCAGAAAGCTTAAAGGCCGAAAGCACGAAAGATGAAAAGTCAGCACCAGAATCTAAGGAAGCTTCCCGGCCAGGATCTGTGGTGGAAAGTGTTAAGGACGAGACTGAAAAGTCGAAGGAACCATCGCGACGGGAGTCAATAGCTGACAGTGCCAAACCCGCTATTGCATCTAAAGAAGTCTCAAGGCCCGAGTCGGCAATTGAAAGTGTCCAGGACGAATCTGAGAAGCCCGAAAGTCATCGGGATTCCCCCCTTGCCTCGAAGGAGGCTTCCCGGCCAGAATCTGTATTGGAAAGCGTCAAAGATGAACCAATTACATCCACAGAAGAGTATCGCCGTGAGTCGGTGGCGGAAAGCGTCAAAGCCGATAGTACAAAGGACGAAAAGTCCCCACTTGCATCCAAGGATATATCGCGACCGGAATCGGCTGTGGAAAATGTGATGGATGCAGTAGAAAAATCGGCAGAGCGGTCGCAGCCAGAATCCGTTACAGCCTCCAGGGATGTCTCCAGACCGGAATCAGTAGCGGAAAGTGAAAAGGATGACACGGACAAGCCTGAATCTGTTGTTGAAAGCGTTAGGCCTGCATCCGATGTTGTTAAAAGCGAGAAAGATGCGGCCGATAAGGAAAAAAGCGTTTGCGAATCACCTGAGAGTAGAAAGCCAGATAGCCCGTCCGCCGAAAGGTCGCCAATGCCTGTAGAGGTTATCTCAAGGCCAGAATCCGTAGTAGAGAGCGTAAAGCCAGAGAGCCGTCGTGAGTCCGCTACTGAAAGCGTTCTTCCATGCAGTACCAAGGACTCCAAAGAACCATCCCGACCAGAATCCAAAGTAGAAAGCGTCAAAGATGAAGCTGAAGTATTGAAGAGTCCGTCCCGACGAGGATCTGTGACAGAATCACAGCCACTAAAGGAAGCGTCTAGGCCAGAATCTGCTGTGGGTAGTGTGAAAGATGAGGGTATGTCCAAGGAACCTTCTCGACGTGAGTCGGGGGCGGAAAGCGTAAAAGGTGGAGCTGCCCAGTCCCAGGAGGCCTCTCGTCCCGCATCCGTTGCAGAAAGTGCCAAGGATGGGGCTGAGGAACTAAAGGAACTGTCTAGACCCGAAAGTATTAAAGATGAAAAATCACCTTTGGCCTCCAAGGATGTTTCCCGACCACTTTCCGTTGCAGAAAGTGTTAAGGATGAGTCCAAGGAAGAATCTAGGAGAGAGTCAGTAGCCGAAAAATCACCTTTGGCCTCCAAGGAAGCTTCCAGACCAGCTTCCGTTGCAGAAAGTGTTAAGGATGAAGCTGAGAAGTCTAAGGAAGAATCTAGGCGAGAGTCGGTAGCCGAAAAATCGCCTTTAGCCTCCAAGGAAGCTTCCAGACCAACTTCCGTTGCAGAAAGTGCTAAGGATGAAGCTGATAAGTCTAAGGAAGAATCTAGGAGAGAGTCAGTAGCCGAAAAATCACCTTTGGCCTCCAAGGAAGCTTCCAGACCAGCTTCCGTTGTAGAAAGTGTTAAGGATGAAGCTGAGAAGTCTAAGGAAGAATCTAGGCGAGAGTCGGTAGCCGAAAAATCACCTTTGGCGTCCAAGGAAGCTTCCAGACCAGCTTCCGTTGCAGAAAGTGTTAAGGATGAAGCTGAGAAGTCTAAGGAAGAATCTAGGCGAGAGTCAGTAGCCGAAAAATCACCTTTGGCCTCCAAGGAAGCTTCCAGACCAGCTTCCATTGTAGAAAGTGTTAAGGATGAAGCTGAGAAGTCTAAGGAAGAATCTAGGCGAGAGTCGGTAGCCGAAAAATCACCTTTGGCCTCCAAGGATGTTTCCAGACCACTGTCCGTTGCAGAAAGTGTTAAGGATGAAGCTGAACAGTCCAAGGAAGAATCTAGGAGAGAGTCAGTAGCCGAAAAATCACCTTTGGCCTCCAAGGATGTTTCCAGACCACTTTCCGTTGCAGAAAGTGTTAAGGATGAAGCTGAACTGTCCAAGGAAGAATCTAGGAGAGAGTCAGTAGCCGAAAAATCACCTTTGGCCTCCAAGGAAGCTTCCAGACCAGCTTCCGTTGCAGAAAGTGTTAAGGATCAAGCCGAGAAGTCTAAGGAAGAATCTAGCAGAGAGTCAGTAGCCGAAAAATCACCTTTGGCCTCCAAGGAAGCTTCCAGACCAGCTTCCGTTGTAGAAAGTGTTAAGGATGAAGCTGAGAAGTCTAAGGAAGAATCTAGGCGAGAGTCGGTAGCCGAAAAATCACCTTTGGCGTCCAAGGAAGCTTCCAGACCAGCTTCCGTTGCAGAAAGTGTTAAGGATGAAGTTGAGAAGTCGAAGGAAGAATCTAGGCGAGAGTCGGTAGACGAAAAATCACCTTTGGCCTCCAAAGAAGCTTCCAGACCAGCTTCCGTTGCAGAAAGTGTTAAGGATGAAGCTGAGAAGTCTAAGGAAGAATCTAGGCGAGAGTCAGTAGCCGAAAAATCACCTTTGGCCTCCAAGGAAGCTTCCAGACCAGCTTCCGTTGTAGAAAGTGTTAAGGATGAAGCTGAGAAGTCTAAGGAAGAATCTAGGCGAGAGTCGGTAGACGAAAAATCACCTTTGGCCTCCAAAGAAGCTTCCAGACCAGCTTCCGTTGCAGAAAGTGTTAAGGATGAAGTTGAGAAGTCTAAGGAAGAATCTAGGCGAGAGTCAGTAGCCGAAAAATCACCTTTGGCCTCCAAGGAAGCTTCCAGACCAGCTTCCGTTGTAGAAAGTGTTAAGGATGAAGCTGAGAAGTCTAAGGAAGAATCTAGGCGAGAGTCGGTAGCCGAAAAGTCACCTTTGGCCTCCAAGGATGTTTCCAGACCACTTTCCGTTGCAGAAAGTGTTAAGGATGAAGCTGAACAGTCCAAGGAAGAATCTAGGAGAGAGTCAGTAGCCGAAAAATCACCATTGGCCTCCAAGGATGTTTCCAGACCACTTTCCGTTGCAGAAAGTGTTAAGGATGAAGCTGAACAGTCCAAGGAAGAATCTAGGAGAGAGTCAGTAGCCGAAAAATCACCTTTGGCCTCCAAGGAAGCTTCCAGACCAGCTTCCGTTGCAGAAAGTGTTAAGGATGAAGCTGAGAAGTCTAAGGAAGAATCTAGGAGAGCGTCAGTAGCCGAAAAATCACCTTTGGCCTCCAAGGAAGCTTCCAGACCAGCTTCCGTTGTAGAAAGTGTTAAGGATGAAGCTGAGAAGTCTAAGGAAGAATCTAGGCGAGAGTCGGTAGCCGAAAAATCACCTTTGGCGTCCAAGGAAGCTTCCAGACCAGATTCCGTTGCAGAAACTGTTAAGGATGAAGCTGAGAAGTCTAAGGACGAATCTAGGCGAGAGTCGGTAGCCGAAAAATCACCCTTGGCCTCCAAGGAAGCTTCCAGGCCAGCTTCCGTTGCAGAAAGTGCTAAGGATATCAAGGATGATCAATCTCCTCTGGCGTCGAAAGAAGCGTCAAGACCCGATTCTGTGGAAAGCGTTAAGGACGATGTTGAGAAGCCAGAAAGTCGGCGTGAATCTGTTGCAGAGATTGTTACACACAAAGAAGCTAAGGACGAGAAATCCCCAGCACCTTTGAAGGATGTTTCACGACCAGAGTCTGTGGCGGAGAGTGTTAAAGAGGATCCTGTCAAATCCAAGGAACCATCCCGTCGAGAATCTGTCGCGGAAAGTGTCACAGCGGAAAGCGCTAAAGATGACAAATCTCCTTTGGCGTCCAAGGAAGCGTCAAGGCCAGAATCGGTAGTTGATAGCGTTAAGGACGAAGCTGTAGCTATTGGTGTTGATGCAAAAAGTTCCATTTCTCCCAAAGATAAATCCCGTCCAGGTTCTGTTGCTGAAACTGTATCATCACCAATTGAGGAAGCGACAATGGAGTTCTCAGAGATTGAAGTCGTAAAAAAAGCCAGCCTCGCTCTAAGCCTACAAGCTGTCCCTGGAGGAAAACTGCAAACGGATTCCAGTCCTGTTGACGTGGCCGACGGTGACTTTTCGCATGTTGTCGCATCAGTGTCCACCGTCACGCCCACACTTACAAAACCTGCAGAGCTCGCAGAGATTGGTGCAGCTATAACGGTCTCGTCTCCTGTAGACGAGGCTCCAAAAACCCCATCTGCTCCAGAGCATATATCCCGAGCAGATTCACCCGCAGAATGCGCGACTGAAGAAATTGCCAATAATGACAAATCACCACAAGTTTCGAAGGAGTCCTCAAGACCAGCGTCGGTTGCAGAAGACAAAGATGACGCTGCACTGCCAACAAGTGCAGTGGATGAGCACATCACAGAAGTGAAAGATCTTAGATCTCCAGTCGCCTCCAAGGAAACTTCCCGCCCGGCATCTGTGGGAGAGACAGCGTCATCACCCATCGAGGAAGCACCCAAAAACTTCGCGGAATTCGAGCAGGCCGAGAAAGCAGTGCTGCCTTTGACTATTGAACTAAAAGGCAGTCTCCCTACGTTGTCGAGCCCTGTGGATGTGGCTCATGGTGACTTTCCCCAAACAGCAACCCCCACAAGCTCCCCAACTGCAGGCCCAGTCCAACCAGCTGAACTCTCCAAAGTCGGCATTGAGCAGACAGCATCAAGTCCGATAGATGAGGCTCCGAAATCCGTAATTGGATCTCCGACAGAAGAGCGTCCAGAATCTCCTGCTGAAAGTGCCAAAAATGCAGCTGAATCGGTGGAGGAATTAAATAAAGACTCAGCCGAAAAAGCGAAGGATGCATCACGTCCACCATCTGTAGTTGAAAGCACCAAGGCGGATAGCACGAAAGGGGATAATGAGCTATCCCGGCCGGAATCGGTGTTGCAAAGTCCAAAAGACGATGCTCAAAAGTCTAAGGAATCATCGCGCCCGCCATCTGTTGCAGCAAGTCTTACGGGGGAAACCACTAAAGAGGTCTCCCGACCAGACTCTGTAGTAGAAAGCGTTAAGGATGAGCATGATGGGGCAGAGAGCCGTCGAGAGTCAGTTGCTAAAGTGGAAGGGGTTGTTGACGAAGCCGGCGAATCTACTTCCAAAAGCGCTGGTCAGGAAAGTCATAAAGATGAAAAGTCAACTCTGGCGTCGAAAGAAGCCTCTCGAAGAGAATCCCTCGTGGAATGCTCAAAAGATGGTGCTGAAAAGTCTGAAAGCCGTCCAGAATCAGTCATCGACAGTGGAAAGCCAGTGCCCAAGGAATCGAAATCCCCAATGGACTCAAAGGATTCCTCTCGTCCAAGCTCAGTGGTGGGAAGCGTTACAGCCGAAGCTGAAAAATCTGAACTGCAATCCCGTCGGGAGTCCGTAGCGGAAAGCGTCAAAGCAGATAGCAAAAAAGATGGGAAATCTCAAGAAGCATCTCGACCACCCTCTATCGAGGCACTTCTAAAAGACGATGAGTCAAAACCGGACAGCAGGCGGGTATCGATCGCAGACAGCCTCAAAGCAACGAGTACCAAGGACGATGGGTCGCCGATGGCCTCCAAAGAAATTTCTAGGCCGGAATCGGTTGTAGAAAGCATTCAGGATGAAAAGGAGAAACACGATAGCCGTCGTGAATCCATTACCGAAAGCGTTAAGCCAGACAGCTCCAAGGATGAAAGATCTCCCCTCGGCTCCAAGGACGTCTCTAGGCCGGGATCCGTTGCCGATAGTGATAAGGATAAAGCTGACAAATCCAAAGAGCCATCCCGACCAGCATCCGTCGCGGAGAGCATTAAGCATGAAAGTACAAACGATCAAGAGTCTCCGCTGCAAGAAGAGGCCGAAAAATCTAAGGAACCATCCCGGCGAGATTCCGTCGCCGAAAGCATCAAGGCAGAGATCACAAAGGACGAAAGGTCCCCATCGGCGTCAAAAGAGGAATCTCGACCTGAATCCGTCGTAGGAAGCATTAAAGATGACAAGGTGGAAAGCCGTCGTGAGTCTGTGGCGGAAAGCGTGAAGCCGGAAAGTTCAAAAGACGTAGCATCAGCTCCACCTTCAAAGGAACATTCGCGACCAGAATCCGCTTTGGAAAGCGTCAAGGATGAAGGCGATAAGACCACAAGTCGCCGCGATTCGGTAGCTGGCAGTTTAAAAGAAGAGAAGTCTCCTCTTGTATCACAACAAACGTCCCGGCCGGGATCTGTTGCAGAAAGTGTCAAAGATGAAGCTGATAAGTCTATCGAACCATCCCGGCCGGCATCTGCATCCGAAAGCATTGCGGCCGCAACCACGCGGGACGAAAAGTCAGCACCAGAATCTAAGGAAGCTTCCCGGCCAGGATCAGTGGTGGAAAGTGTTAAGGATGAGACTGAAAAGTCGAAGGAACCATCGCGACGGGAGTCAATAGCTGAGAGTGCCAAGGACTTAAAGCCCGAGATTGTATCTACAGAAGTGTCCAGACCCGAATCCGTAATCGAGAGTATTAAAGACGAATCTGAGAAGTCCGAAAGCCGTCGTGAATCTGCTGCCGAATGCAAGAAGGGTGAAAGTGGAAAGTCTTCTGTCGTACCAGAAGAAGCTTCCCGGCCAGAATCTAAGGCAGAAAGCTTAAAAGATGCGGCTGCCCCGTCCAGACCAGCTTCCGTTGCAGAAAGTGCTAAGGATGAAGCTGAGAAGTCTAAGGAAGAATCTAGGCGAGAGTCAGTAGCCGAGAAATCACCTTTGGCCTCCAAAGAAGCTTCCAGACCAGCTTCCGTTGCAGAAAGTGCTAAGGATGAAGCTGATAAGTCTAAGGAAGAATCTAGGCGAGAGTCGGTAGCCGAAAAATCGCCTTTAGCCTCCAAGGAAGCTTCCAGACCAACTTCCGTTGCAGAAAGTGCTAAGGATGAAGTTGAGAAGTCTAAGGAAGAATCTAGGAGAGAGTCAGTAGCCGAAAAATCACCTTTGGCCCCCAAGGAAGCTTCCAGACCAGCTTCCGTTGCAGAAAGTGTTAAGGATATCAAGAATGATCAATCTCCACTGGCGTCGAGAGAAGCGTCAAGACCCGATTCTGTTGTGGAAAGCGTTAAGGACGAAGCTGAAAAGCCAGCAAGTGCAGCAATCGACAAGTCGAACGAGACATCTCGGCCCGAGTCTGTGGTAGTAAGTACCAAGGACGAGAAATCCCCGCTTCCATCGCGCCCTGAATCGGTGGCCGATAAGTCGCCAGCTGCCTCGAAGGAAGCATCCCGCCCTTCATCGGTTGCCGAAACCGCCTCATCACCCATTGAAGAAGGTCCACGATCCATTGCTGACCTCAGTCTGCTCCTTAACTTGACAGGCGAAGCTAAGGGCGAGCTTCCCACTCTCTCGAGTCCCATCGATGTGGCAGAAGGAGACTTCGTTGAAGTACAAGGGGACTCCTCCCCTCGGCCAGCTGCACTTTCAAAACCAGCGGAACTTTCCCAATCGGATACTGCGCATACAGCCTCCACTCCCGTGGACGAGGCTTCTCCTGTTCTGGAGGCCATCGAAGTAGTTGAACAGCAAACCACCTCTGGAGTCGGGGCTGCCAAGGTAACAGCGGAAGCGGACCTGCTTGACCTGACTGAATCCAAATCCGAGACGGTAACCAAGCAGTCGGCAACATCGTTGCTTGAATCCCTGTCCTCGAAGGTGGAAAGTAAGGTGGAAATACTGGAGAGCTCGGTGAAGCAAGCTGAAGAGAAAGTAGAGACCTCAGTAAGGCAAGCAGAAGCCACTGTGACCGATTCCTTGGAGCAACTGACCAAGAAGAGCACTGAGCAGCTGAAAGAGATGAAATCAGTTCTGGACACGAACATCATCAGCGTAACCACCTTAATTAGCACTGCAGTGGGGATCGCTGAACAGAAAGTGCAGGATGTGACAGAAAAAGTAATTGAGAAGTCAAGTGAGCACGTTTCCGAGCACATCACCACTATAGGGGAAAGCTCAACGGAAACCAGCCAGGAAAAGAGCAGCCTGGATCTGGGCACATTCTCGGAGCTGCGCGAAACGCATATTACCACCGTGGGATCACCGGAGTTCACGGTTACGATCTGCGAGCGCGATGAGCCCGTGCTGCACGACATCAAGGAGGAGGACGAGGAGCATCGCTTCTCGCCTCCAAGCGATGGGGACAAGACGGGAATTCTACCACCACAGCCGATGCGACCACTGTCCCCCCGCGAGGAAGAAGTAGCCAAAATCGTTGCCGACGTGGCCAAGGTTCTTAAGTCCGACAAGGACATCACAGACATTATACCCGACTTTGATGAGCGCCAGCTAGAGGAGAAACTAAAGTCAACCGCCGACACAGAGGAGGAGTCCGATAAAAGTACCCGCGACGAGAAATCGCTGGAAATCAGCGTCAAAGTGGAAATCGAGTCGGAGAAATCCTCGCCAGATCAGAAGTCCGGCCCCATTTCCATCGAGGAGAAGGACAAAATCGAGCAATCTGAAAAAGCACAATTGCGGCAGGGAATATTGGCTATCAGCCGGCCGGAGTCAGTTGGCAGCCAGCCGGAGTCCGTGCCCTCTCCATCCCCTTCGGAGTCGGCAGCCAGCCATGAACATAAGGAGGCGGAACAGGGACAGGCTAAGGGACAGGCATCCCCCATTCCCAGCAAGGAGGAGTCCGAGAGCCATAAAGCTGAGAAGGCTTCTCGCCCCGAGTCCGCTGCCAGCCAGGTCAGCGAAAAGGACATGAAGTCATCGCGCCCAGCATCTACCACCAGCCAATTCAGCACCAAGGACGCCGATGAGGAGACGACTGAGTCGCTACTCCACTCGCTTACTACCACAGAGACAGTTGAGACCAAACAGATGGAAGAGAAATCGAGCTTTGAGTCTGTCTCCACTTCAGTCATTAAGTCCACAGTGCTCTCCAGTCAATCAGTTCAACTGCGCGAAGAGTCCACCAGCGACTCCTTGAGCAGCAGCCTCAAGGTGGAGGACAGCTCCCGACGCGAGTCGCTCTCCAGCTTGTTGGCCGAGAAAGGAGGAACCACTACCAGCACTAGTTTGAGGGAGGAGACTAGCACCTCGGCATCTCAGCTGGAGGAGCTGCTTGTGCAGTCCGAGGAGTGCTCATCAGAGTCAATCGTTAGCGAGATTCAAACCAGCATCGCTCAGAAGTCAACTAAGGAAACCAAGGATGCAAAGGAAACCAAAGTAACCAGCCTGTTTAGCACTAGCACCAGCAGCGCCACCAAAGACGACAGCTTAAAGGAAACTGTGGCCGAGTTCCTGGCCACCGAGAAGATTGTCTCCGCCAAGGAAGCCTTCAGCGCTGAAGCGACCAAGTCGGCAGAGGACTGCCTGAAGAAGGCCACCGCCAGCAATGTCTCCAGCACAACCGCCTCCCAGCGAGCGCTGTTCGTGGGCACGGACGAGTCACGGAGGGAGTCCCTGCTGAGCCAGACAAGTGAGAGCCGGCTGACCCACAGTGATCCCGAAGACGAGGAACCCGCTGACGACGTCGACGAGCGCTCCAGTGTTAAGGAGAGCCGCTCCAAGTCTATTGCTACCATCATGATGACCAGCATCTACAAGCCTTCCGAGGATATTGAGCCGATTTCAAAGGTCGTCGAGGAGGAGCACGAGCACGTAGAAGAGCTGGCTCAGGAGGTCACCTCCACCAGAAAGACCACAACTCTTTTGCAATCCAGCGAACAGAGCAGCAGCACAACCACCAGCAGCACCAGCAAGACCGGTGCCTCAAGGGTGGAGTCCATTACTCTCACGCAAATGGATCAGCAGACTAGCCAGAGTCAGGCCGAGTCTGCGGATCGCAAGACACCGCCAACGGCACCAGTGAGTCCCGGCGTCAAGGCGCTGAGCTCTACAGGATCGGCCGGCTCTGTGATGGGAGCTGGAGCCGTAGCCGCTGGCGGAAAGTGCGAGTCCAGTGCCGCCAGCATCGTTTCTTCATCGGGCCCGATGTCGCCCAAGGACATTAGCGGCAAGTCCAGTCCCGGCGCACTCACCTCCGAGAGTCAGTCAATTCCCACTCCGCTAGGTCGGGAGTCGCATACGGATACCCCGGAGTCCTCTCCAAAGCCCACATCGCCTTTCCCGCGCGTCAGCAAGGACGAGCTTAAGTCTCTGGAAATTCAGGTGAAATAAAACTTTTTGTGCCGTGTTTACGTTTACTGGTCTGGCATTTTCTAAATATATCCTATAATCTTTGACCCATCTAGCACCACGAGCAGGAGCAGATGCTGGCAGGAGCAGCAGCTGCAGCCGCAGCTGAGTGCGAGGCCGATCTTCCCGAGCTGCACGAACTCCGTGGACTCGAGTGCACCACAGCACTGAGCGGGAGCACCGACAAGATAATCACCACCACAATCACCACGGTGACCAAGGTAATTTCGGCGGATGGCAAGGAAATAGTGACCGAGCAAAAGACGGTGACAACCACAGACAGTTCGGAGCCCGACAGCGAGAAGGTAGTGGTCACCACCACACGCACCACCAGCGAGAGCGAACGCGACCAGCTGCTGCCCAAGGAGGTGGCGCTGCTGCGTGGCCTGTACCGCGCCAGCACCCCGGGCAGCGAGGACGACGAGGACCTGCTGCTGGGCTCCCCGCGCAGCGCCACCAGCTACGAGCTGCAACACTCCAGCTCCGGCGTCAGCAAGCGCTCCGATCTGGACGCCGACGGCGACGGCGACGAGAGTCAGGACGACATTCCTCCTCAGTATGGCAGTGAGGAGCACTCATCGGCACGATCGATTCTGCTGCCTCGCACAGCCGACCCCATGGCCACCTCCTTTTACGGCGCGCTGCCCGACAGTTTCGACGTTGCGATCAAGCCCAGCACCGAACCAATCCCGATTCAGGGCGCGCCCACCGGCGATAGCCAGTCGTCGGAGAGCGTGGAGAGCAGTAGCCAGACCTGGGCAGGACACAAGTTCCTCGACCAGGCGGACAAGGACTTCCAGAGGGCACTCGAGGAGCACGTACAGGCGCGCGGCGCCGAGGTCATGTCTTCCGTCACCGCCAAGTACTCGTACTCGCCCTCAAAGGCCGAGGAAATGGAACAGATCGTGAGTAGCACTGCGGAACGGCAGCGCTTCCCGCTTAGCGATGTCCAGCGGTCCCGAGTGGCGGAGAGTGGCTTTGCCACAGTTGGCAGTGTCGCCTCCCAGCAGCAGCAGCAGGAGAAGAAGGAGGAAGTGGAGGAAGCAGTTCCAACTACAACCGCAAGCACCGCAGCCACAGCCACAGCCACAGCGAGTTCCACTGGAGCCCTGCCCAAGGACCGCCTAGAGGAGTGGGGCAAGCCCCTAGGCCTACCATCACCAGCACCGCTGCCTGTAGAGGGCGGTGCTGACATTCGCACCACTCCCAAGAAGGAACGCCGCCTGGTGGCTACCAAGACGCGACTGAACAACGAGAAGAACCTGCGCAAGCGTAGCGAATCGCCCAACAAGGCCGGCAAGAAGCCGGCGCCCGTCTACGTGGACCTTACATACGTGCCGCACAACGGCAACTCCTACTACGCCCACGTGGAGTTCTTCAAGCGGGTGCGAGCCCGCTACTACGTCTTCTCCGGCACGGAGCCCAGTCGCCAGGTGTATGATGCGCTGCTCGAGGCCAAACAGACATGGGAGGACAAGGAGTTGGGTGAGTATATATGCTTGCTATGCCTCTCCTTCACTGAGTTCATTTCCCAATTCTCCGGCTTGCAGAGGTCACCATTATACCTACGTACGATACCGATGTGCTAGGCTATTGGGTGGCTGAAAACGAGGAGCTGCTAGCCAAGCACCGCATCGACCTCTCGCCCTCCGCGTCTCGTTGCACCATCAACCTGCAGGACCACGAGACCTCGTGCTCCGCCTACCGGCTGGAGTTCTAGGCCACGGGCTTGTTTATTGCATTCGACGATGACTAAACCAACCCACAACGCACCCAGCCATAGAAGCAGACGAGCAGAGCACTGCCAGAGTATTGAGTCCATGTCCATGTACGGACTACAAAGTGCATGGACTCGAGCTCTGACACGACGCGAACCAGGACAAGGACTAGGACTAGGACTAGGACTAGCACCAGCACGACGACGACCACAGCAAGAGGACAGGATTGGAATGGAGATCAGAAGGGGAATGACAATTCAGACAATTCAATTGGCCAAGTTTCGTGAGCAGGAGCCGCGGAAAACGGAAATGAGCCGGACGTTGGCTGATATGGCGGAGTTTGGGTCACGCGAATGACTCCATTTTGTTTACCAATGCCGCCTATTGAGCTTTCGACGACTTGTTTCGGCCGACCAAGAGCTACGTAATTAATTGATATTAAGTTTTAAAGATTAATTACCGAAAATGCATTGCAACCGATCCTCAGTGGTTTAGTCGAGGAGCAGCCATTTATGTCGCTTTCATTGCATAACGTCAAGCTACCTTGCCTAGTAATCCAAAGATCAAAATAGTTTTCAAAACCGCATAGCTAAATATACGAAGGAGAAACGAAAAGGCGTGAAGAAAAGACACACTCTATATACAGAGAATTTAATATTCATGTTTAATATATGTATTAGTCGAAACTAAAGGTATTCGAATTTTAAAGCGAGCATTAGCTAATTGAACGTGTATAACCCGTAAAGTCAGAGCTCTTTAGCCGTAGGATAATAAGCGATCATAATACAGAACGGAGATCGGAGACGGATTCACTACCCGCCCTTCGGACTAAACTGAATCAAACGTTAGGGCTAACAAGTGCAACAAAGATTCTCGATTTACCCCTCACCGCAGCTAATGTATCCAGTATCCGGTATCCGAGATTCGGTATTCGGTATTCGATACCCTCAATATTTAAGTAATTCCAGATCCAACCGTTTTCGTAGTCCATTCTCACCGTTTAGTTCGTATGCTTTTCTTTGCATTTCGTTCCGTTGTTTCAGCAGGCAGCCGCAGAAAGACTTATAACCCAAAATGCTATAGCGACCGATATACGTACACCTCCACTCCCACATAGGGGACTAAAGGAAGATGAGAAGGGAACTGAATTGGGGATTGGGAGTTGGGAGTTGGGAGTTGGGAATTGGGAATTGGGACTTGGAGCTGGAATGGCGAGGTATACGCCATTGCCGGAGGATCGAGGAAGCAGGAAAGACGACGACGACAGAGTCAGTGCTGATGTTACTATGTAAGGATCTGAGTGATCTGAGTGGACTTAGCTGGTATGGGGATAGGAATAGGACTAGAACTGGGCTCGTGATGGGGCGGGAGTCTCAGGTTGGGTGGGTTGGGGTTGGGGTTGGGGTTGGGGTTGGGGCTGGGGTTGGGTGGAATGAGGGGGCAGTGAAACAGCTATTGTGAGAATATAAAGAGAATGAGCAGAGAGTCATAACTAAATACGATACGATAAATATGAAGTACACAAAGTGAATGAAGGTTATTTTTCTATATTTTTTTTACTTTTCATAGTCATAGAATAACAAATTTGCAACAAACAACAAGATAAATATGCAGCAAGACGCGATCCAGGCACACAGGCAATTTTAATCAATGTAACCAGTAACCAGTAACCAAGAAACAAGAAACAAGAATCAAGTAACAAGAAACCAGAAACAAACGGAACAAGCAATTCGAGGCCACAGCAAAACAGTCCAAAAGAGCCAGTTACAATTATAAATTAAAGACTCGAGTGGTCGATGCCCCACTCGAGCCAGACTTTTTAGGCTACGCGTATATTTTTGAGTTGCTTTTTATATACAACAGCAACAGATCTGGGAGGAGCTGCGGCCGATAAACCTTCAGCATGCAACATGCAGCATGCAGCATGCCATATGCCATATGCTACATGCCACATGCAACAGGCAGACCGCAGCAGACAACAGTCAACTGGCAACCGTCCAGTCTACACCGTTTGATAGCAACCAGCGAAATTTAAGCAAAATTATACACACGTAGGGCTAAGAGGGGCGGGCATGCGACTGGGGAGGATCACGATCCCCATCAGCGCTCCCGTCCGACCAGCACTCGCGGTCGGTATATAGAGCACCGATCGGGCGACTTTCGATTATTGGGTAGCATTGCAGTCTCCGCTTCGAGGATTTTAAATTTATAACCGAAAAAACAAAACACGAAGTTTATTAAACATTAATTACTTTCCAAATTCGTGCGCTTAGCGAGCAAAACCAAAACCAAAACCCAAAATGAAATCCAAATCCAAACCGAAGAAGGTGAAGATAAAGAATACTCACACATGAACTATATACACTATATATGAATATATAAGAATATATATGTACTTGAGCGTATTGATGTTGCTTAACAAGAAAAACCAAAAAAAAAAGAACTCTTCTCCCAGCCAGAAGACATTTTTTGCCTTTCACCAAACGAATTTCCCCTAAGATACGAAAATATGACAACTTGTTACCTTTGCCCCCGTTTGTTTGCGACATGAGTTTCGTTGAAATCAGGTCAGATCGGATCAGATCGACTACACACGATACACTATACACTACACACTATACACACTATACTGTACCCACACACAACACTACACACATAACGCCACACGCACATGTATCCATTGCCTTATATCCAGAGAACAAACAGATATCTGCATCATACCTTATATTAGTCTAAGAATCAAGTTCGATATGTATGACCTATGAGAGTTTGTTTGTTGAATTTGCTTTTACTTTTTAGCAGCTTCGATTTAAATCAAATATACATACTAAACGCACACACCCCCGCACACACACACCGCTCACGTATGCGGCGTGGTGTGATGTGGTGTGTGTGGTGTGTGTGGGCCCGTGTGTGCTCTATATAATCATTAGTACAGCAAGTGCATGCAGAAAGTAAGATTGTTACGAGCAAGAGCCCAGCCGAGGTGTCGCTTACTGGCGGACGAAGGAGTCATGTGGCTAGGCCTACCCAGGGAATGAGTAGGAGTCGGTAGGAGTCGGCAGGAGACAGGATGAGCGAGCCAGCACAAAGATCTGAAAATGGGCAGAGGTTACCGCGAAGAAATATATATGTATTACATTTTATGAAACGTCAAGCTTATCTCAAGAACTATTTCCAAAACAAAATCTGAAATTATAATAAACGTATTTATGTGAAGCCCGGGTGTGTATTCGATTCCCCTGCCCTCTTAGTTACCCAGGACTCCGCGATGCCAGGTGAGTTACCAGTGCCCAGTGCCCAGTGCCCAGTGGCCAGTGCCCAGTGCCCAGTGTCCAGGTCTCCGTCTTCGTCGCCAAGGCCCAGTTTGAGGAGGGAACCCACCTCGGATTGCTTGATTGATGACCTGACAGCTAACTAATGGCCTAATTGATCATGATGGATGCCCACCTGGGGAGTCCCTTTCGGCAGCACCTCGTCAGCGCGCAGTCGGCTAAGGTCAGTAGATTTGGCTGGTCGTGTTGGCTTTGTGGTTTAACCTGGTGTTGGACTACCGAGGCGCACGTAAGTGGCTTCCTCTCCACTGCGAGTGCCCGAGTCCTGTTTCCTAATCCCGAATGCCCATCTGGGTCGCATGGAGCACTAGATAGCCAGATAGCCGACACAAAAAAGTTCCGTCCCCGTGATAAGCCGAATCGAGGTACGGACGGGGGAAGGGGCACTCGATTAGCGGAACAGGGAAGTGATAAGGTAATCTAATTGAGGTAGCTTCCTCCCCATAAAGCGAAACCTGGCCACGCAGCAGATATCGGATGGACTTCGGCATGGACACGCTGAGAGCTCTGGAGCCGCTGCACCGCGTCTGCCAAGTGTGCAACCTGTGGCCCTGGCGCCTCGCACCTCCGCCAGACTCGGAAGGCATCCTACTCCGCCGATCGCGTTGGCTGGAGCTGTACGGCTGGACCGTGCTGATGGCGGCCACCGCCTTCACCGTCTACGGCCTCTTCCAGGAGAGCAGCGTACAGGAGAGGCAGGACTCGGAGTCCACTATCTCGACCATAGGCCACACGGTGGACTTCATCCAGCTGGTAGGCATGCGGGTGGCTCATCTGGCTGCCGTGCTGGAGGCCCTGTGGCAGCGGCAAGCACAACGACGTTTCTTTGCGGAGCTTGGCGAGATCGATCGCCTGTTGTCCAAGGCCCTGAGGGTGAACGTGGAGGCCATGCGCCTCCAGATGCGTCGCCAGACCTCGCGCCGAGCTGTGTGGATCCTGTGGGGCTATGCGGTTAGTCAACTGCTTATCCTGGGCGCCAAGCTGCTCGCCCGGGGCGACAGATTCCCCATCTACTGGATCAGCTACTTGCTGCCACTGCTCGTGTGCGGTTTGCGTTACTTTCAGATTTTCAACGCCACTCAGCTCGTGCGCCAGCGCCTGGATGTGCTTCTGGTGGCCTTGCAGCAGCTCCAGCTGCATCGGAAAGGGCCCGCTGTGGACACTGTGCTGGAAGCGCAGGACGACTTGGATGGAGCGGCAATGGATCGACTGATCGCCGTCAGACTCGTCTATCAACGGGTGTGGGCGGTAGTGGCCTTGCTAAACCGCTGTTACGGGCTCTCCATGTTGATGCAGGTGGGCAACGACTTCCTGGCCATTACCTCCAACTGCTACTGGATGTTCCTTAACTTTCGTCAGTCGGCGGCCTCGCCCTTCGACATCCTGCAGATCGTGGCCAGCGGCGTATGGTCTGCCCCCCATCTGGGCAATGTTCTCGTCCTTTCGCTCCTTTGCGACCGAACGGCCCAGTGCGTAAGTAAACTGGAGACCTGTCCGCCCACATGAATCTCTAAAGGATTGTCTATTTGCCTTCCAGGCCACTCGTCTGGCCCTGTGCCTGCACCAGGTGACCGTGGATCTGAGGAATGGGAGCCACAACGCTCTGGTAGGTACCCTTGTGCACCAAAGCAACCATTGATAATACCCGTCTCTCGCCAGATAACCCAGTTCTCGCTGCAGCTACTCCACCAACGGCTCCACTTCAGCGCCGCTGGCTTCTTCAATGTGGACTGCACTCTTCTCTATACGGTGAGTGGAAATTTCGATTGCAATCCGGATAACAGCACGCACTTTCTAGATCGTGGGAGCAACAACCACGTACTTGATAATTCTGATCCAGTTTCACATGAGCGAATCCACCATCGGCGGACAGTAGCTACTGGGCAGCAGGAGGGACGGCCACATTAATTAATGGCCTAACGTCTAATTGTTGTTCCACAATTAATAAAAAAATATTCGCCTGGCGCTTAGAAATAAAAACCATCAAATTCGGCGGGTCAACAGCATTTTTCGTAGGCGAATTCCAACATATTCTCCTGTCTGCGGCACCAGGCGAACAGAAACCGCAGGAAGTGCCAGCTGGCCGATCGGAATAAACGTGAACAGCTGTTGTTCTTTCAAGATGGCTGCCGCGCTCGCTTCTCCAGACGCCATTCAACCAATTGAATGCCAGCGATGGAGAGAAACCGTTAGTTCAGCTTAGAAGCACACATGAACAGCTGTTCTTCCTCCACGATGGCTGCCCGCCCTACGGGTCTTTCCAGTCGATCTACTGAATCGACTTCTACTGAAATTTCTGTTCGCCTGGTGTTGCGCAGTAAAAAAACAGCCCGATTTCACCAAGTTTTGGCCGGCAGCTCAAATATCTCGCAGTGATCGATCGATCATTTTCCTGATCAGACACCAGGCAAACAGAAACCGCAGCAAGGGGCGGCTGGTAGATCGCAGTAGGCTAAAACAGCTGTTGCTTTTCCATGATGGCTGCCCCGTACGCTTTTCCAGTCTCCTGTCGACCAATACGAAGGCAGATCAATCAGGGGAAACCGTTAGTTTGGGATAACTGCAAGTTAGAGATGAGCAAACACGTTGACGAAAAGCACGACGTTACAGCCAGTTTATATGTAATTTATTTGATCGTGCTGAAATAAGGTTGTCACGCCCCCATCTCTAGGCAACCAAAGATCAAGCAAAGCAGCTGATCCTTTTGCACCTGCTAAACGTTTCTGAGCGCCTAGTGTCGCGCATCAAAAAACATACATAAGCATGTTTACGTTTGACTTGCGTACAATTAAGAGGATTGCCAACATTGCTTTTATTTTCTAAGCCTGGGCGATAGGTTGGTTAGGGTGTTGCTAGGGATGCAGTCTGAGTGAGCTTGCGCTAAGCAGCGAGGGACTGTAGATGCGTGGGCGTTCACGAGCATCCCCTAAAGACAACACCCCGACCTTGGCGGGAGAGAGGAATTGGTTTGGATGGGATTTTTCAAAGAGGAGTAACAACTGAAAATGGACGGGGCAGACAGAATCACGACTGCCCCGAAGGAGCATCCCCGCACGTAAAATTTAAGCCACCCAGCCGAGGCCGGACGGGAAAACCGAAAGGAGCATGCAAAGGCAGAAAATCGGGACGCTAACCGTGTCTAGTTGAAGTGTGGCGGCGAACAGCAGCGGAAGTCGCTGCGGTACACCTCTTGGGCGGGCCGGAACGTGCGCCAGTAGTTGGGCGCACAGCAGATGATCCTGGCCAGGTACTCCTTGAACGTGTCGTAGGTGGGGTAAACAAACCGGTCGCAGTGGCGCTTATGATGGTGGCGGCACTCGGTATCCGCGATCCAGTCGCGGGCCAGGCGCGGCTCCTCCTGAGGCAGTCGTTGTGGGTGGGCAGTGGTGGCTCCAGCAGCGGAACCACTGGAGCGGGTGACGGCGGCCCTGGGGGAAACAGTTCATGTAAACGATGAGCAAGCCGCCAAGTATGCAACCTACTCCAGGCCTTCGGCAATCAAGCGCTGCACGCCTGGGCATCGGATTACTCGGGCAAAGTGGCGGCACCGGTTGGATCTGTCCAGGGTGCACAGGTACCAAGTGGGCATCAGGGCGAAGCGCACCTCGGCAAGGACGCGCTCGGCACAGTCGCTCCGCTCAAACCAGTTGTGCTCCAGCCAGAGCACCACGGAAAGGAATATCTGCCGGGGGTTATCATTTGGATTAGGAGGTGATTGGTCCCAGTGACGACATGGAACCGATTTCACGATCTCACCTCGATCTCCGAGTTGACGCTGAGGAAACTGTTGCGCAAGATGTGCGTAAGCTCGTGTTCGGTGAAGTCCAGGAAGAATGTGGAGCTGACAATGCAGAGGAAGACGCGCGAGATGCGGGTGAGCATGAGTTCGCACAGGATGCGGGCCTGCGGCTGGCGACGGGCCTCCAGGTAGGCCTTGAAGGCGGTGTCCTCGTTGAAGAACTCCATCTTCTCCAGCGACGACCTCAGCTGGCGCAGCAGCTGCGGTATCTGCAGCACCTCCTCCGCCACGACGCGGGTGAACAGTTCCCGCTCCGCATCCGAGTCCTGTCCAAGCTGATCTAGCTGCGGCAACTGCTTCATAAAGTGGCGCGCCGCATAGATTTTCGCGTAGTTCTGCAGCACGTTCTTGAAGCAACGATGCCGCTCATTTCCAGTGGATATGCCGGCCTCGATCAGCGTCTGCTCCCGCAGCACGTGCAGCAGCTGTTCCGAGACGCGCTCGGTGGCGGATTGCGGCTGCAGGGGCGAATGATTGTCCCGGCTGCCCAGCATCTCCAGCACGATCTGGTTGGCCTCGCCATCGCCCTCTGCGCCGTCGCCGAGGCGCTTGATCAGCCTGGTGATCTGCTGGCGCCCGGCCAGCTCCTTCAGCTTGGCAGGATACCCCTCCGTTGGCAAGCCCTCGGCGGCATGGGCCGACGTCGAGGGAGTGGGAGTGGAAGTGGGCGAGGGAGTGGGGTCGGTGTCGGACTGTTCGTTGTCGCCCTGGGCGCCGCTCTCGAGCACCTCTGGCTCCGGTTCTGGTTTCGGCTCCTGGCCCTGCTCTTTGTCCTTCTGCTGATCCAGTTGATCCCGTTGATCCCGCGGATCCTGTAACTGGGGTTCTATCTGCACTTGCGGGTGGGGGTGCGTCTGCCTGTGGGGCAGCGACGAGACGGTGGCCACCGACAGGAATATCTCTATCGGGCCCTGGTCATGGTTCTGGGTGCGCATCTGGGCCTTCTGCTCATCGGAGACTGGCCGTCGTGACAGCCGCTTCATGCTTGGATCGAGAAAGGATTTCAACATGCACGGATGGAACGCTAATTAAATGAGTACTGAAATTTAGATTGGGAGTGGCTTTCGGAGCAGCTGCTAGGAGACTAGTATGTGCTACGTGTTTAAAGCTTTGTGACTAAACCAATCCCAGATGACAATCGCTTTCTGACGCCAGGCCTACTCCAGTCGGAACCTCCGTGTGGTTCTAGGATACCCAGAAGCCATCAAAGATCGTTCAGCCTTGCAGGCACAGCGTCCCGTGTTTACTGCATTCATTTATGTACGTACATACCAAGTGTCTAACTAAGAATAAGAGCGACGATCACGTCGCCCGGCTATCTAACGTGAGCGCGCAGGGCGACTGCGCTGGGAATCTCGACCTGGTTCACCTGCAGCAGCTGCACAAGGTTGCGCAGGAACTCGTGCGATACCTTCAGCTCGTCGTCGGCCTCCAACCGCTCAAAGAGATCCAACGCCGCCTCGTAGTCGTTGCTGCGGCAGAATTGGGCCAACAGCAGGTCGTAGATCTTCTGCTCGTCGATGGTTCGCTGCACGCCCCTCACTCCGCGCGCCAGGCGCAGGAGCGTCCGCACGGCGCCCTCCTGTCCCAAGTGCTCGCAGTTCCTTACGAGGAGTTCGTGGTTGATGCGGAACTCAGGGTTGATGATCAGCCGGCGCAGCTGCGTCTCCTTTCCCGATTCGGCCAGAGCGAGCAGCAGGGCGCTGTTCATGTTGGCCGACCCGTGTACGCGACTCACTGTCGCGGTAACCGCCGCCAGGTGCTGCTGCGCGGACTCGGCCGTGACGCCGGGAAAGCGGGCCATCTCCTGCTCGTCCCCGTTGCCCAGCCGCACCAGCAGCGACAGGAGCTCGAACTGCAGAGGCGTGTGCTTGTGGGTGTTTGCCAGTCGCTGAAACTCGGCCACCGCAGCGTCCAAGTCGCCCTTTAGGAGCCACTCGCGCACCACTGGTCCCAGCAGGGCATTGTGCGATTGACAGTAGCCCAGGCCCCTGAGGAAGTCCAGCCACTCGCGGGTCTGATTAGATGGTTTTGAGCTCTCGCCACCTGCAGGTGAAGAGGCGGCCAACTGGCCTACGTTGGTCAGCAATTGCCATACGTTCTTCATCACATAGTCGCCACCGACGACCTTATGCTGCTCCGCGCGTCGCTGGAGCACCTGCTTGGCGGCCTCCAGCTGCTGGCCCTGGACCAAGAGGGCGGCGTAGTCGATCACCTTGTGCTCATCAATCTGAAAGGCTGAAGTGGAAGGGGTATGCGGATTAATGCAGTCCACACTGAAAAGTAATCTTTAGCTACCTGGATAGGTGCTGCTCAGACGCTCCAAGCTCTCCTGGGCGCGCGGCAAGTCACGCAGCTTGATGTGTAGGTCCACGATGGAGGCCATCATTCCTGCACTCGTCTGAACCTTCAGAGCCTGACACTTGGCCAAAAGCTGTTTGGCACGTTCCAGGCGACCGCTGCGCACCGAGAGTTGCAGCAAGCGACGCAGCACCCCTCGTGGGTTCAGCTTCTTGGACTCCAGCTCGACCAGGTGGCACTCAAGCTCGTCTATGTTCATGTCGCGCGGGTGCTTGATAAATCCTCCGTTGAGGCTGGCCGTGTCAGCTGGCAAGGCGAGCTGTGGGTTTTTCATAGTCTGAATAGTTTTGGCCAGATCCTGGATTAGGTCAGCGTCCTCAGTGGCGTGACGGACCACAGAGAGTAGTGCCTCGGAAGCAGCAGGTGAGATTTGTAGCTCTAGGCGTCTAAGTTCATGCAGAAAACGTCGCAAGGAGGCGGGATCCTGGCGCAGACGCGTTTGAGGTCCAGTCATTTGCAGCAGCAAGGAGCCCACAAAATCTTCTGTCCGTTGGAGCGCCTTCTTCTGCAGGGCCTGAATCACCTTTCCAAATACCTCGAAACGCTTGGTGGCGCGGGCATTGACCGCGAGAGAAGAAAGTGGCTGGAGAAGCGTGGGCAGGTCCAAGCGCGTCGGATACCGCTCCAGCAAGTCCAGCACCTCAGACATCTGATGTTGCTGCAGCAAATGGCTTACGACGGGGCACAAGGTCTGGGAAGGCTTCACCCCCGCCGATTCAAGTGCCTTCACGGCTTCCAAGGGCTGCGCCAGGGTGTGGCGCAGATGGGGAAGCAGATAGTGCCGCAATGTTTCCTCGTCGCACTCTACGCGCAGGCGCTGCATCTCAGCCACCAGGCGAAGCATGCCGCTTTCGCCCTCCCGCCGGTAGTGGTGCAAGATCAGGGGCCAGAAATAGTGCGGACGCAGCTCCTCGCCGGCTGCAGATAGCACTTCCAGGCAGTGGAGCGCGGATGACGGCAGACGGCGAAGGGCCAACTCAGCCACTAAATGCAGGGCGCGGACGTTCTGGTTTCGCTGCACCAGTTGACCGGCGAACTGGATTGTTTGCTCCAACGGGACATGGGCGCGGAAGAACTCCTGCAGCAGCAGTGCACCGTACTCATCCACGTTCTGATTCTGGACCTCGAATTTCGGAGCGGGCAACGCACCCACGAGCTGGATGACGACTTCGGTGCGTCCCTGGTGCACCAGCTGAATGCATAGGCTTCTGATAGCGGGCGGCAGGTCGAAACCGGTCAGAAATTCGCGGGGCAGCTCCTTGACAAGCAGTTGGATTAGCTCCGTATCAACATTCTTGCTTGCGAGCAGTCCCCGCAGCATCTGAAGCAGCTGAGGGGCGGTGAATCCGTGCTCTGCCTGCAGCAGCTCCTTTGCCTGTGCTACCTGGCCGTTTTCTACCAGAGCCTCGAACCAAAGGGCCTGGGTGCTGCTGTCGGGCTGTATTCCTGCGGCCCGCATGCTGGCCAAGACGGACTCCGCCCCGGGCAGGTCACCGCTGCGGGCGTGGCCCAGAAGCAGGGCGTGAAAATTGTGCTCCGTAAGGGCGAAGCTGCGCTCTCGCATCTCAGATAGAATCTCGGTGGCCATGCGCATGTTTCCCGCGGCACCAGCCACGTCCAAAAGAGCGCCGTACAAGGTGGAATCGGCTGCTCCATGGTAAACGGCGATCTCCGCCAACAAGGAGCGATAGTCCTGCAGAGGCAAGCGGTTCTGGCGCAGCACCTGCAGCTTGGTGTGGTAATGGGCCAGCGTGGGCTGGCCCAGCTGGATGAGTTGAGCCCAGAGGCCGTGGAAGAGCTGGAGCCGCGCCTGGCTGCTCTGAGCAGGAAGCAGTTCGGGCACACAGGACCCCAGGAGGAAGTGCACCTCTTCGACGCCGACTCCTGTGGGCGACGACGAGTGCTGCAGGAGCTCCATTAGGCGCTGACAGTGCTCAAAGTTGATCAGATCGTGCTGCCGGTAGTACGCCTCCAGCTGGGTCCACGTATCCGCAACGCTTGCTTTTGGTTTCTCGAAGGAGGCAGGACGCCGGCTTCTTCGTTCCGCTGCACTGAGGACGCCACCCGTTCCCAGGGATCGCAGCTGCAGAGGCAAGGATGGCGGCGCTGGCGTCGTTGCATAACGGAATGGCAGGCTGGCGAATGTAGCGCTGCGTCCTGACAGCTGGCCTAGGCGCTGCCTGCACAGCCACACACTCTGCAGCAGTCGTGCTCGCTGCATTTCGGCCAAGTTAATTTATTTTTCCGCAAAACTACGAGTTTTTACTTTGGCAGTTTCGCGGCGAGCAGCAAAAAAAAACAACACGCGCCGGCAATCAGCTGTGCCTTCCAGTTGAAAGATATCGAAAACAGTGCTGCCCATCTCTGCAGGAATACCCGCCACTTATTTCCACTACTTTGAATCGTTGCGGATTTCGAATTCAATATAAGTTACCGGCCCTGGAGCTCCAATGAAAACAATGTGCAAGCCTCTGTGCATACATATGCTATTGCTATTTATTTACTTAATCGAGTCAAAGGCTTTTGGGAATGCGACCCTACAACGAGGATCTGGCCAGGTGGCGTCGCTGAGCTGCCATCGGGGTGCCCTCCTCACGCAGATCGGTCAAGAGGGAGTCCTGCCACGGTCGAAGCAGGAGACGCTTTGTTGCCAACAAGGAGGCGGAGGGCAAGCGCAAGTATTGGTCCACGCGGTGCCAAAACTCCTGCGGCTCCCTCACCACACCGGCCACAAAGCCACACTGGAGGGCAGTGCTGGAGCTCGCTTGATCGCCCAAACGAAGCAGCCAGTGGATGTGTGGCACAGTCCAGCCGGGGCCCACCTTGGTGCAGGGATCCAAGTGCGAGAAAGCGGGCACAAAGGCAGATGACTCCGTTGCGAAGACCAGATCGCACAGACTGCACACGCTCAGGCCGAGACCGACGCACTGGTTCTCCACAAAAGCCACTAGGAGCTTACGGTGCACAAGCAGCTTCTTGGCCAGCGAGCGCATCACAAAGTTGGCCGCCTTCTCGTGGATGTACTGCTCCTCGGAATCCCTACTGCCCACAGCTTTCTCCTGGGCAGCCGTTCGCCTGCTCCTCTTTTCCTGACCCTGTGTTAGAGCCAGCGGTTCCGTCTCACCGCCACAAGCCGCAGAAAACTCGCCTGAGAGCACAACCAGCTTAATGGCGGCGTCTGCACTAGCCAGGTCCAGGGCGCGCATCAGCTCGTAGAGGGTTCGGCGTTGCCAGCGCCGCTGAAAGTGTATGTGGAGCAGCCCGGAACGTTGTGCAACGACCAGCTCCCTGAAGTGCTTGCAGCTCTCGCTTGTGGCCATCGCTAGAGACTGTGCGATATAGACTGCGGCCAAGAGATAGAAGACAAGAGCCGTAAGCATCTGCGCTTATCACGCGGTCAAAGTGCAGGCTTCTTTTCTCCGCCCAGCTGCGCTCCGCATCTCGAAGTTACCTTATACTCACGCATTTGTCGTGCTCAATTGGGGGCGCCGTTTCAACCGCTTGCTTTTATTGGCGTGTATGCTAAGAATGTGCCACCTTTGTGTTCATCTTTGCTTTCAGGCTGGGCCATCAGATGGCTTATCTATGTTTCTCCCTATCTGCTAATTGCGCAAAACTCTTTAAGTTGAGGGTACTTTAATATGTACGTAGGTCTAATGCTAATAATATACAAGTGCCTCTTAGACACACCCTTCGGAATTAAATAAATTACTAATGAGCTACAATCAGTGCTCGTCCAGGTGCGAGAACTTTTTGCGCAGCTTTTCGCGTCTCTCCTTCTTCACGTGACGCCAAGGCTTGGCCGCCGGATCATTGCCGGCTACTAGAGACCCGTCGTTGGCCAGACGCACGTTAGGGAAGTTGGTTCGTCCTTTAACGTGGGCGTGGGTGGGCTTGTCAGAGAAGAACTGGTTATCTAGCTCCTTGGACGTGCTTTTGTTGATCTGCGGAAAAGGCGATAAGTTAGCGAGGGAATGAAGTCTAGTGCAAAGGGCAAATCTCACCCGCATGGCTCGCTGCTGCTGGCCGGGCAACTGTGACTCCTCGATGACCTTGCGCTGGCGTTCGGGGAAAGTGTGATACTCGGTCTGTGGCACCGAGGGCGGACTCATGGCGTAGAGCAGCCTCCCATTGACGTAGTCTTTAAGCACATACCTGGCGGAACGCGCCTGATCCGGCTGTCCGTTGGAGGTCATAAAACCGCGATTGTCTGGAAAAGAGCGAGAAGGAGTGCGTTGTGAAATACTGTAATGCGTACGCAAAGCATTAACACTTACAGCCATAAGCCAGCAGCAGCTCCTCGGAATGCGGTGGCCTCTCCATGTCCTCGCCTTCCAGCGGCTTGGCTATCACAATACCGTATTTATCTTCAAGGACGTGGCGTGGAATGCGCTCGCACAGCAAGTTGACGGCGGGAACGTGATCGCGCATTTGGTCAATGGGCAGGATGCCGTTAAGCAACATGTCAGCCTTAGTCAACACAAAGCTCGGCATCACCAGGCCGGGACAGTCGCAGAGCAATATGTCCTTGTCCAGGAAAAGAGTCTGAAAGCGTTTAGTTTTACCCGGCGTGGCCGAAACGGACACCTTCTTCACTGTCATCAGCGAGTTGATGGTGCTACTTTTGCCCACGTTTGGGTAGCCAACCATTCCGACGGTCACATGCTGCTCTGTGTGCCGCGGACCGGCGTAAATGTGTCGCAGGAACTCAATGAGCTCCAGGCGGGACAGCAGTCGCGGACTGTTCTTGTCCCCTGGCAGTCGTGGCAGCTGATCGTTCTGATTCTCGGGATTCGCCTTTAGTTTCTGCTCAATAACGTTCAGAGTGTCCTCCACGGTATCCAACGACTGTTGAATCTCCTCAGCTGCCTGGCGCAGCTGTTGCAACTCGGGAAATGATTCTAGGCGGGACGCCTCCGCCTCCAGCTTCAACTCCTCCTCTACCAGCGTGGCCGAGTAGAAGGCCGTGCGAATACCCTCACTGTCAAAATATTCCGCCCAGTGGCGACGCTGTTCCTCAGTGAGCAGGTCCGACTTGTTTACCAAGATCATGTTCATCTTGCTAGGTTCTACCTCCTTTACGTAGCGCTCAAGGTCGACGCTGCGGAATAGCAGCGGATTGCGGGCGTCTACGATCTGGACAACGACGTCAGAGCGCTCCACCACGCGCCACAGCTGGCGCCAGAACTCCAGGTTTTTCTCGTACGGAGTCATCAAGATCTCCTCGTCCTCCTGCAGCAGCGCCAGGTCGCGGCGCCAGTCGAGGAATGCCTCGTTCTCGGTTCGCTCCAGCTCCTCGGCGCTCGTCTCTTTGCTCCACTTGGGCCGCCGCGGGATTTTGAGCTGGTCACGGTGCTCGTCATGCTTCTGGTGCATGCGCTGCTCCTGTGTCTTACTTAGCAGACCAACGCGCTGTTTGGGGTTCACGAACGTTATGTTCAGCTTCTCGGCCTGAAACTCAGTGCCGGCCAGCTCGGCGGTCCGCAGGAAGGCCTGGAACGACGACTCCTCAGTGACAGAGGACAGGTTGAGGCGACCCCAGTCGTAGCCATCCTGCAGCTCAGTGGTGTGCAGCTGGTGAAGATCAAAATCGTGTTTTCAGGGTAAGCGCAAGTACATATGTGCATACTATGTATTTTTTTACAACTACACCTACCATAGTGTCGTTGTCCACCTTGCGGCGCTGAGTGTGTCCGAAACGATCCTTGATCAACTGGCGACCCAGGTTGGGCGCCGCGCCCTTGTTCTTTTTGCCCATGGCGCAGTTACTGTATTCGCAAATCGACGGACGAAATAATTATTTATATTGACAAAAACACGTGCAATGTTGCCCCATATGCTATCGAAGTCTATCGGGCAATCGATATGGGGAGATTTGATTCCTGTCGCTAATCGATAGTTACAGATCGAGTTCAAATTAGCTTTGCTTTTTTGGAAAATGTAAACGTTTAACCTCTAAACATTACAGATTATACGTAGTTTTTCTGCTAGCACAGATAGTTGCATATAGATTTATTATTTGGTACACAATCGCAGGTGGTTCGGAATCTCGCTTTGAACTTAAAACTAGGATTCGAGTTGTCTATCAATTCACATACGGCACGGCAAGTGGGCGTTACAGAAGGAAAATCCTGTCCGCAAGCTCAGAGGTAATCAGTACGAGTCGGAATCTTCCTCGCTATCGCTATCGCCATCCGCCCATACAATGGGCCACACGGCGTTGCGGGAGCAGCTTCCTCCCAGGGCCTTGCAGAACGTGTTAAATGTGCTGGCCTGGCTGAAGCCGAGGATTTCGCGCTCCTCGTAGATGCGGTACGTGAAGGTGCTCTCGTAGGTGCCCACAAAGTAGCGGGCGTAGGCGCAAACCAGTTGGTCCACCACCGCCACGCCCCCATCCTTCAGCTCCCTCCGCTGGACATTCGATTCCGGCGCAAAGTGTACTAGACGGAAGCGATAGAAGAGCTCCTTCAGCTCCATCAATTCGTAGGGCGTGGCGTCAGTGGCCAGGAATACGGTGGTCATGTTAAACGCACGCAGCAGCTGCTTCACCTGCTGGGCAGCCGCCTTCAGGGAGGGAGTGGTCGCCTCCCGCGAGCGCACAAAGTCGCCCCGTCTGAGGTGGGCGCACAGGTAATCTCCGCCCTTCGCGTTGCGCTTCGGCCGCTCCAGCTCCCACATGGCAGGTCGCTGGACTTCGGCCGAAGCATCTGTCGTGGCAAGGGCCTGCTGCCGGAATCCGGCGGCCACCTGATCGAGCCGACGAGCGAAACGCATGGAACGCCGAGCTTGCCAAAAGTGCTCGTCACCCCAGTGGTCGTGAAGCACGGTCTCGGCGCTAAGCAAGGCGTACGTGCGCATGTCGTCGGCGTCCTCTGGTCCTGTCGTGTCCTCTGCGATCGCCTCACGAAGCAGTTTTTCCAGCAGTCCGGCGCTGCCCTGAAACCGAACGCAGTGGAAGCGCGCCACACGCAGCTCCGCTTGCTGCAGCAGTGGTCCTCCCGACAGGGATCCCTCGCTGCACGGCTTGTCAGCGACGCGTTCAAACTTGTCCCGAAAGATGCCCTGTTCTAGCATGACCTCGTAATGCTGCAGCCGAAAACCGTGCGCCACATGGACCAGGGGTGCTCCAGGATTGCCGAATATGCGCTGCTCGGCCAGGAATTCCTCGTAGTCCAGAACGGGCGCGTATCGGCGAAGGCTGGCTAAGTGGAAGAAGTGGCTCCAAGCTAGTCCAGCCTGCTGCAGGCCTTGCGAGTGCCAGTGGTAGAGGCGAGGCCACGGCGGCAGCACAAGGCGCACCTGGCGAAAGCGCCTCCGTCTTTGCAGCCGGCGCACGAACACCGCCATGCGAATGTAGACGTCTCGGCGCAGGTTGAAGCCCTCGGAGATGTTCACGTCGTAGAGGATATACACGGCGCCCCTCAGGCCGAGCACCTCGGGCGGACAAGTCTGTGGCAGTGGCAGGATCTCCTGCAGGACCCTTCTGGCGCAGGTGGCTCTGCTTCCCCGGGAATCGTCATTTTCTTGTCTTACAGTCCCGTTCCGGAAGACGGCATCCGAGCCGGTCAGGAGGTGCAGGAGGAGGACCAGCGCCGGGACCCCAAACCTGGGCCAGCTCCCTCTCATTTTTGGTTTCATGTAGAGTGGCTGTGATGGCGGTCAGAAAAAAACCCTAACGCATTTGGTATTTTTCCAAGAAATAATTCAAAAAATAAACATTAGTATTTTATTTCAATCGACGGACATTCCACTCTGTCCGTTATTGTGGTCCGAAAAAATCGGATGACTTTTGAGCAGAAATATGTTTCTCTAAGAGATATTTTCACAAAAACTTGGTCAAAAATGTTCACATAGCAATAAAAATTACTATTTGGAGCAGGTAATGATCCCAACTAACGATCCCCATCACTTTCCTGCTGTTTTTGAAAGAATAATTTTTTTCCAAAAATTTTGCTATTTTTGTAAGGGGTAACATCATAATTTTTTACGAAAAACGGTCAAAATTCAAAATTTTGAGCCTTGAATTGCATCTGACGGGGAATTTTATACCGAATTCAACAAGGTATGACATTCCATATTCAGACGAATATTTTAGCTGCTGTAAACAAAAAACTGATTATTTTTGTTCGAAAAATCAGAATTAAAGAAAAACTATGGACATCCCGGGGGTGTAACACCATAACTTGGTCAAAAATATTCACATAGCAATAAAAATTACTATTTTGAGCAGGTAATGATCCCAACTAACGACCCCCATCACTTTCCTGCTGTTTTTGAAAGAATAATTTTTTTCCAAAAATTTTGCTATTTTTGTAAGGGGTAACATCATAATTTTTTACGAAAAACGGTCAAAATTCAACATTTTGAGCCTTGAATGCCATCCGACGGGGAATTTTATACCGAATTCAACAAGGTATGACATTACCTATTCAGACGAATATTTTAGCTGCTGTGAACAAAAAACTGATTATTTTTGTTCGAAAAATCAGGATTACAGAAAAACTATGTACATCCCGGGGGTGTAACACCATAACTTGGTCAAAAAAATTCACACATCCATACAAATTACTGTTTTGAGCAGCTAATGATCCCAACTAACGACCCCCATCACTTTCCTGCTGTTTTTGAAAGAATAATTTTTTTCCAAAAATTTTGCTATTTTTGTAAGGGGTAACATCATAATTTTTTACGAAAAACGGTCAAAATTCAACATTTTGAGCCTTGAATGCCATCCGACGGGGAATTTTATACCGAATTCAACAAGGTATGACATTCCATATTCAGACGAATATTTTAGCTGCTGTGAACAAAAAACTGATTATTTTTGTTCGAAAAATCAGAATTAAAGAAAAACTATGGACATCCCGGGGGTGTAACACCATAACTTGGTCAAAAATATTCACATAGCAATAAAAATTACTGTGTTGAGCAGCTAATGATCCCAACTAACAACCCCCATCACTTTCCTGCTGTTTTTGAAAGAATAATTTTTTTCCAAAAATTTTGCTATTTTTGTAAGGGGTAATCATAATTTTTTACGAAAAACGGTCAAAATTCAACATTTTGAGCCATGAATGCCATCCGACGGGGAATTTTATACCGAACTCAACAAGGTATGACATTCCATATTCAGACGTATATTTTAGCTGCTGTGAACAAAAAACTGATTATTTTTGTTCGAAAAATCAGGATTACAGAAAAACTATGTACATCCCGGGGGTGTAACACCATAACTTGGTCAAAAATATTCACATAGCAATAAAAATTACTGTGTTGAGCAGCTAATGATCCCAACTAACAACCCCCATCACTTTCCTGCTGTTTTTGAAAGAATAATTTTTTTCCAAAAATTTTGCTATTTTTGTAAGGGGTAACATCATAATTTTTTACGAAAAACGGTCAAAATTCAAAATTTTGAGCCTTGAATTGCATCTGACGGGGAATTTTATACCGAATTCAACAAGGTATGACATTCCATATTCAGACGAATATTTTAGCTGCTGTGAACAAAAAACTGATTATTTTTGTTCGAAAAATCAGAATTAAAGAAAAACTATGGACATCCCGGGGGTGTAACACCATAACTTGGTCAAAAATATTCACATAGCAATAAAAATTACTATTTTGAGCAGGTAATGATCCCAACTAACGACCCCCATCACTTTCCTGCTGTTTTTGAAAGAATAATTTTTTTCCAAAAATTTTGCTATTTTTGTAAGGGGTAACATCATAATTTTTTACGAAAAACGGTCAAAATTCAACATTTTGAGCCTTGAATGCCATCCGACGGGGAATTTTATACCGAATTCAACAAGGTATGACATTACCTATTCAGACGAATATTTTAGCTGCTGTGAACAAAAAACTGATTATTTTTGTTCGAAAAATCAGGATTACAGAAAAACTATGTACATCCCGGGGGTGTAACACCATAACTTGGTCAAAAAAATTCACACATCCATACAAATTACTGTTTTGAGCAGCTAATGATCCCAACTAACGACCCCCATCACTTTCCTGCTGTTTTTGAAAGAATAATTTTTTTCCAAAAATTTTGCTATTTTTGTAAGGGGTAATCATAATTTTTTACGAAAAACGGTCAAAATTCAACATTTTGAGCCATGAATGCCATCCGACGGGGAATTTTATACCGAACTCAACAAGGTATGACATTCCATATTCAGACGTATATTTTAGCTGCTGTGAACAAAAAACTGATTATTTTTGTTCGAAAAATCAGGATTACAGAAAAACTATGTACATCCCGGGGGTGTAACACCATAACTTGGTCAAAAATATTCACATAGCAATAAAAATTACTGTGTTGAGCAGCTAATGATCCCAACTAACAACCCCCATCACTTTCCTGCTGTTTTTGAAAGAATAATTTTTTTCCAAAAATTTTGCTATTTTTGTAAGGGGTAACATCATAATTTTTTACGAAAAACGGTCAAAATTCAACATTTTGAGCCTTGAATGCCATCTGACGGGGAATTTTATACCGAATTCAACAAGATATGACATTCCATATTCAGACGAATATTTTATCTGCTGTGAACAAAAAACTGATTATTTTTGTTCGAAAAATCAGAATTAAAGAAAAACTATGGAAATCCCGGGGGTGTAACACCATAACTTGGTCAAAAATATTCACATAGCAATAAAAATTACTGTGTTGAGCAGCTAATGATCCCAACTAACGACCCCCATCACTTTCCTGCTGTTTTTGAAAGAATAATTTTTTTCCAAAAATTGTGCTATTTTTGTAAGGGGTAACATCATAATTTTTTACGAAAAACGGTCAAAATTCAACATTTTGAGCCTTGAATGCCATCCGACGGGGAATTTTATACCGAATTCAACAAGGTATGACATTCCATATTCAGACGAATATTTTAGCTGCTGTGAACAAAAAACTGATTATTTTTGTTCGAAAAATCAGGATTACAGAAAAACTATGTACATCCCGGGGGTGTAACACCATAACTTGGTCAAAAAAATTCACACATCCATAGAAATTACTGTTTTGAGCAGCTAATGATCCCAACTAACGACCCCCATCACTTTCCTGCTGTTTTTGAAAGAATAATTTTTTTCCAAAAATTTTGCTATTTTTGTAAGGGGTAACATCATAATTTTTTACGAAAAACGGTCAAAATTCAACATTTTGAGCCTTGAATGCCATCCGACGGGGAATTTTATACCGAATTCAACAAGGTATGACATTCCATATTCAGACGAATATTTTAGCTGCTGTGAACAAAAAACTGATTATTTTTGTTCGAAAAATCAGGATTACAGAAAAACTATGTACATCCCGGGGGTGTAACACCATAACTTGGTCAAAAAAATTCACACATCCATACAAATTACTGTTTTGAGCAGCTAATGATCCCAACTAACGACCCCCATCACTTTCCTGCTGTTTTTGAAAGAATAATTTTTTTCCAAAAATTTTGCTATTTTTGTAAGGGGTAACATCATAATTTTTTACGAAAAACGGTCAAAATTCAACATTTTGAGCCTTGAATGCCATCCGACGGGGAATTTTATACCGAATTCAACAAGGTATGACATTCCATATTCAGACGAATATTTTAGCTGCTGTGAACAAAAAACTGATTATTTTTGTTCGAAAAATCAGAATTAAAGAAAAACTATGGACATCCCGGGGGTGTAACACCATAACTTGGTCAAAAATATTCACATAGCAATAAAAATTACTGTGTTGAGCAGCTAATGATCCCAACTAACGACCCCCATCACTTTCCTGCTGTTTTTGAAAGAATAATTTTTTTCCAAAAATTGTGCTATTTTTGTAAGGGGTAACATCATAATTTTTTACGAAAAACGGTCAAAATTCAATATTTTGAGCCTTGAATGCCATCCGACGGGGAATTTTATACCGAATTCAACAAGGTATGACATTACCTATTCAGACGAATATTTTAGCTGCTGTGAACAAAAAACTGATTATTTTTGTTCGAAAAATCAGGATTACAGAAAAACTATGTACATCCCGGGGGTGTAACACCATAACTTGGTCAAAAATATTCACATAGCAATAAAAATTACTGTGTTGAGCAGCTAATGATCCCAACTAACAACCCCCATCACTTTCCTGCTGTTTTTGAAAGAATAATTTTTTTCCAAAAATTTTGCTATTTTTGTAAGGGGTAACATCATAATTTTTTACGAAAAACGGTCAAAATTCAATATTTTGAGCCTTGAATGCCATCCGACGGGGAATTTTATACCGAATTCAACAAGGTATGACATTACCTATTCAGACGAATATTTTAGCTGCTGTGAACAAAAAACTGATTATTTTTGTTCGAAAAATCAGGATTACAGAAAAACTATGTACATCCCGGGGGTGTAACACCATAACTTGGTCAAAAATATTCACATAGCAATAAAAATTACTGTGTTGAGCAGCTAATGATCCCAACTAACAACCCCCATCACTTTCCTGCTGTTTTTGAAAGAATAATTTTTTTCCAAAAATTTTGCTATTTTTGTAAGGGGTAACATCATAATTTTTTACGAAAAACGGTCAAAATTCAATATTTTGAGCCTTGAATGCCATCTGACGGGGAATTTTATACCGAATTCAACAAGATATGACATTCCATATTCTGACAAATATTTTAGC